TCAGATTGCATCCATCACATTTTGTCAGTGGAATATTTAGTCAGCTTGTGCCCATCACATTTTGTCAGTGGAGCCTTAGATCCTTCATTTTTTTTTTTCCTGATTGTAATTGATGATGAAATTTTGCAGTAGACTATCTTTACATTATATAATTATAGCTATCCAACTGATTTTTAATTATAGTTAAACATAATGAAACCAAAGAGTAACTGCTTCTCTCTTTTCACAAACAACAAATGATGGAACAGTGAGTGCAGGAGGAATTAGTGATTGGTAGTTTAAAACTTGATAAAAAGAGACCCCGTCATTGAAAATCATGTCTTAATGAAGATCGTCTCCAAAGGTTCATGTTGTGTCACTTAAAACTGCAGTTGATGCCCCTATAAAATGAGTGAAATAATCTTCAAGTGACATTTCAAGCAAAGTGTGTCTGCATGTGCATCAGGAAACATAGTGTTATGTAGCACATTGTGTCCCAAGCTTTTCATTATGCAAGCCCAGAAGAATTCTGTTTAAGAAGCTACACAACAAAGATTTTTGGTTCATAATCTTAAGAAAGCTTACATGTCATTCTTCAAATGAAAGAGCTTGTCCTTTTAAAAGATTTTATGTTAGTATATTTTGTATTTCACCCTGTGCAGTCTATATGCCTTTTAAGGGAACCTCCTTTTGGGCTTTAACACACAGATTGATAATTAAATGAGATGTGAAGTAAACTCTTTGTAGGTTTACGTATTATGACCGATGTAGGTTTATGACATTTGTTAATATGTATTGCGAGCACTCATGAGGCGAGACCACAGTAAATATATCAAGCATGCAAGTCTTGTTCAGATCCTTTTTAAAAAACACATTGCATACAGATTACTTTGTTATCTAGGCCTGGATCAGGCATTTTGACAGATGAATAGTGTTAGATCATATTGTCATCCAGCCTAATTTTTTGCCCACCAATTTCTTTCAATTGAGAAGTATATTTGATCAAATATCCCGATAATTACTGAGAACTTTTGATAAATGCTTTAACAAGAGGAATATATGACGTCTGCACAAATGATTTTAAAAGAATCAAGTTCTTCAACGTGTTGACTAATTCTTCTGAAGGAGACAAAAGCTATTGCTCTTGATTATTATGGTCATTTAAGTGATTAGATTTCCCCTTGCTGCTTCCAAAAAAAAAGATTATTCAAGCAAACAGGTAGCAAGGGTTCAAAATCATCAAAAAATAATTTTTTTTTATGTGACTAAGCTCAAGAAATGACAATGCCTTCTGTTTAAACCCCAAACTTGAAATGAAAGCCCAGTGGAATTTTCTATATCTCTTGATTTTTTTTATTGCACATGAACTGCTTTATAGAAACATATTTTATACCTCCTAAGTGTGGACAATTAGTTCCAGTCCTTGGGTTTGTCCCAGGCTTTGAACTTGACAGATATTCGTTGTTTTTTTATGTTGAAGCAGCAATTTTTTTTTTTTTTAACTTTTCTGTTGTATTCAGGAAAACAACAGTGGGGATCGACACTGTATCTATAGACCAAGTGGGAAGAAAGAGTTATAATCTCCTTTAAGATATGGGATGTGCATACTATTGTATTGAAAAAAAAAAGAAGGTGTTTTTCTATTTAAAAAATAAGTAAATTTGACGTATATTTAAAATAAATTTTAAGAAAAGTACAATTAAAACAAATGAATTTTAGAGTTAGTACTAGGCAAAAAAAGGTCCAATGTCTGCAGACACTTCAAAATTATACATAGCAATTACATTAATGTTCTGAATTAATCATTTTGCATATTGTCTTAAATAGCCAACTCCTGCAAATGAAAGTTAGTGCAAAAAGGGAAATCTTAAATAATGGTATGGTATTCTTAATTAGCATTAGGATGTGTGTATTTTTGCAATGTTTGAAAAATTCATTTTTCAGTGAATGTTTTGGTCCTTATATAGAAGTATAAAATTTGACTTTTCTTCTTTAAATTCTTTAAATTATGCAAATGGATTGCCAGACATAATGAATTTTAAATGAGAAGATTCTTCACAATAACACAATAAAAGTGTCCTTCAAAGGCCCGCAAAAAGGAATTTAAAAAGAAATTTTTCTCATAAAAGATGAGATATGTTTTGAGATTTAATGCATGTATAATGGGTGCTCAGTAACAAAGATATGGGTGTGTCATTCACTTCTCTGGGCATTGGATGCTCAAGTGATGAAAAATACGGGGGTTAAAAAGAAAAAAAAAACTATCCATCAGAAGTTATGAAGGTGATATGGGTAGGAGATGGGCCAATACAGTGTGTGTTCTGGTCCGTGATTTTGTAGACACAGAAGGTAATAGGAGCTTCAGGGTATAGAAGAGATGTCACTAATTTATGGTGGTGTCTTTAGTACACTGTTCACAGGTTGTAAAATAAAGAGTGTTTTTGTTGGGACATTTATTGAAGAACTAGTGACATTTTACATGATGGCACGAACACAGAGTCATGGCTGTATGAGCTTTCTGTCTGAACTGGAAACCTGATCAGTACACTGTAAACAGCACCACTTCTAGTGGGGTTTTTTAGAGCGTGATTCTTACATACACATGTAACTGTATTAAATGTAAATTAAGGGAAAAAAGTCTACATGTATGAAATTATTTTTAACATGCTGGTGACAGGCGTTATTGAAAGAATGTGCAGAGAGTATAATTAAAACATCTTAAAAAAGAGAAATTGTTCTTAGTGCATTGCAAATGGTGGTTAAGAACATCTAAATATTAATGAAGGCATTTGAATTATGAGTAAAAAGAGAAAATGCATGTCTTAAAAAAATAAAACCATCACCCTTCTGCCCTACTGACTTAAGATATGTGTGTTATATTTTTTTAGCTCACCTGATGGGTCAATTTCAACCAAACTTGCCACAAAGCATTCTTGGGTGAAGGGGATTCAAGGCCAAGCCTTCTTTCAAGGGGAGATTATTAAGAATTAGTGAAAATTGAATGGCATCTTTTAAAAATCTTCTTGTTAAGAACCACTGGGCCAGGAAAAATGAAACTTATGTGAAAGCTTCATTTGATAGTGAAGATCAAATTTGTTCAAATCATGACCCCTGGGCATAGGGCCATAACAGGGGATCTAAGTTATGCAAAGGAATATGTAGGAAATATCTTTGAAAATCTTCTCATGTTCAGCAAAGCCAGAATTAGTCATAGTAATACAGAAGCATCCTCAGGTAGTGTAGATTCAAGTTGGTTTAAATCATAACCCCTGGGGGTAGGGTAGGGCCATCACAGGGGATCAAAGTTATACACAGGAATATATAGGAAATATTTTTAAAAAATCTGCTATGCGTGACCAGCAGAGCCAGTCATATTTATACAGAAGCATCCTCAGGTAGCGTAGATTCAAGTTTGTTTGAATCATGACCTCTGGGGTTGGGTTGGGCCACAGCAGGGAATCAAAGTTATGCATAGGGAGATACAGGAAAAATTTTAGGAATAGGAATACATAGGAAAAAATCTGTTAAAATCTTTTAAAGCCGTGATTAGTTATAAAAATATGTGGAAGCATCTTCAGTTAGTGTAGATTCAAGTTTGTTCAAATCATGCACCCTCCCCTGTAGGGGGAGGGGGGATCACTTATCAATACTGAACTGATCTCTGCTTTTTTGTAGCCAAAGTCCTCAGATGAGCAACATGGCCCATGAGCCTCTTGTATGAGCAATTTGGCCCATGGGCCTCTTGTTTAATCCCATATTTATGCATGCTCCCAAATTGGCAGAATTTTGATTTTTTCAGTCATGTTTTGTGTTATCATAATCTTAATAGAATTACAGAGACCAAATAGTGAGCAATTTGCAATTTTTACAGTCAGTGTCATCTTCAATATAGAATTTAAAATTTATTAAAGCTTCTTTGAAATCCAAAACAGACTAACAAACAAACGAATCCCAAGTTAGCAAATTGAAGGCTAAAGAATATTAACCTGTGATAAAAGTGCCAGAGGATAATTTTAGAATCCAGAAGTATTCAACAAATCAGAGAATCATCCCAAATGTCCACATGTGCAAGTCTGGGGGAGTTTATTTATCAGTAAACATTCTGAATTTTCCTCTCAGCTTGCAAGTTAGCACAAATGAATCTAATCAAACCTCCACAGATAACTTCTATGCTGGATGCTGTTTTTTGCAGTTGACTTCTAGAACAAAAATTTGGAGAAACAATTTATACTCCATAGTTGCTCTTTTTAAGCCATATATTTGCCTTGGTATCAAACTTCACTGTATTTATAATGCTGAGCTGTCAAATGCTACTGATATATAGTTTTTAGGTTTGTTTTTTCAGAGGTTTAAAGTTGCACTGAATTCAGGATGTTTTTCATAATTTTTTACCAAGCTAATTCTTATAGTTAAATCATCTGTTGTGCACTTTTTATAGTCGTGTACTTTCAAGGTATAAATTCATCTCATTCAATACAGAAAAAACTCTTTTATAAACATGGATACAGCAAAAATTCATGATTTGTAATCCCAAAGCAACATTCTACATTAATAATTTCTTTCACAAAAATAGTTACGATTTTAGATTCCGGTACATGTATAATAAATTTCTGGAAAAGGTAAACTGACCCCCCCCCCCCCCATTTTATTAGAAGACTTAAGGAATATAAAACCTCCACAATTAATACAATCTTCAGATATCATCCCTGGAAGTCTAGCAGACAAATTGTAAGCATGCCCATGACTAAGACTAAAAATTTCATGATCTCTTGGTCCAGGGTTCAGGCCCCAAGTTGAGGCTAAAATGTTGGCACCATTTTTTATTAAATTCCTTTGTGCCTCCTGTATTCACATGTCAAACAAACTGTCTTGAGATAAAAATAAGCAAATGAACCATCCCACAAAGTACTATGAAATTATTTTACCCTTACTTAACAGCATTGATTGTAAGCTCAAAATTTCTTAATGCATTATGTTTTATACATCAAAATGTTTAACACAGTATTTGTTGGTTTTTTTAGCTGACTCGTCCTCAAAAACACGACGTCCGCCAAACGTTATCCGTCCTCCTAGTAACCTCCCACGAGTGGATGAGGAACCCTCCACATCAGAACCAGTACGGGAGGTTGAGACTGTTGATCGGGGGGTGGGGCCCACCCCACTACCACCCCCAATAGATCCAAGACTTCCACAACAGAGTCCTTATTATGGTGTACAGTCTCTTCTGGACCCCAGAAATGGTTTATTGGACTATCCTTATGGTAATCAGATGGTGAAATTAAGAATTGATCAAGATAAACAATGCAAGCACATGATTTAATTGATTGTGATTCGTTTTTCCTCATATTTACACATTTTTTATATGAAAAAGTATCTTACTTAAAGGTATTTCAGCTAAAGATGGAATATAAACAACATCACTAGTTGTATACTCTTCATTTTGTTCTCTTCAGTTTGAGATAGAGTCATTTTAGATTGGAAACAATATATGATTTATGTATACAAAAAATGCAGTACTGGTAATATTATGTATGGCTGACAGCTAGTGTATGCTTTACAGGATTCAACATTAATCCTTATCGATACTACAACATCCCTTACCACATCAACAACCCAATACCATTGAACTCCCACACACTGGAGGGACGATATCAGTGGCCTCAGCCAGGGCCATATCATCAGCCTATGCCTCCTGGGTAAGTCGTGCAGGATAGGGGCAATATTGAATACTACTAGGGTCACATTGATCAACTTTTGCATTATTTGTAAGCCATAAACAGGAGGAAAGGTATCAAAATGCATTTTAACAAACTCATGTCTCAAGGGTAAAATGTATACTGGCTATGTCTCATGGCTAAAATGTAAACTGGCTATGCCTCAAGATAAAATATGTACTGGTATACTGGCTATGCCATTTGGCTTTTTAGCTCACCTGAGCCAAAGGCTCAAGTGAGCTTTTCTGATCACATTTTGTCCGTCATCCGTCCGTCCGTCTGTCCGTCCGTCTGTAAACTTTTCACATTTTTGACTTCTTCTCAAGAACCACTGGGCCAATTTTGACCAAACTTGGTACAAAGCATCCTTGGGTGAAGGGGAATTTAAATTGTTAAAATGAAGGGCCAAGTCCCCTCACAAGGGGAGATAATCAAGAGAAGACAAAAATAGGATGGGGTCATTAAAAAATCTTCTTCTCAAGAACCACAGGGCCAGTAAAGCTGAAACTTATATGGAAGCATCCTGGGGTAGTGCAGATTCTAAATTGTTCAAATCATGACCCCCGGGGGTAGGGCGGGGCCACAATGTGGAATCAATGTTTTACATAGAAATATATAAGGAAAATCTTTAAAAATCTTCTTCTCAAGAACCACTGGGCCAAAAAAGCTGAAACTTATGTGGAAGCATCCTGAGATAGTGTAGATTTTAAATTGTTAAAATCATGACCCCCGGGGGTAGGGCGGGGCCACAATAGGGAATCCATGTTTTACATTGAAATATATAGGAAAAATCTTTAAAAATCTTCTTCTCAAGAACCACTGGGCCAAAAAAGCTGAAACTTATGTGGAAGCATCCTGGGATAGTGTAGATTTTAAATTGTTAAAATCATGACCCCTGGGGGTAGGGAGGGGCCACAATAGGGAATCCAAGTTTTACATTGAAATATATACGAAAAATCTTTAAAAATCTTCTTCTCAAGAACCACTGGGCCAAAAAACCTGAAACTTATGTGGAAGCATGCTGGGGTAGTGTAGATTCTAAATTATTCAAACCATGACCCCAGGGGATAGGGCGGGGCCACAATAGGGAATCCAAGTTTTACATTGAAATGAATTGGAAATTTCTTTTAAGATATTCTTCTCAAGAACAACTGGGCCAGAAAAGCTGAAACGTATGTGGAAGCATCCTGGGATAGTGTAAATGCTAAATTGTAAAAATCATGACCCCCGGGGGTAGGGCGGGGCCACAATAGGGAATCCAAGTTTTACATTGAAATATGTAAGAAAAATCTTGAAAAATCTTCTTCTCAAGAACCATTAGGCAAGAAAAGCTGAAACTTATGTGGAAGTATCCTGGGGTAGTGTAGATTCTAAATTATTCAAATCATGACCCCCCGGGATAGGGCGGGGCCACAATAGGGAATCCAAGTTTTACATTGAAATAAATAGGAAAAATCTTTTAAAATCTTCTTTTCAAGAACAACTGGGCCAGAAAAGCTGAAACTAATGTGGAAGCATCCTGGGGTAGTGTAGATGCTAAATTGTAAAAATCATGACCCCCGGGGGTAGGGCGGGGCCACAATAGGGTATCCAAGTTTTACATTGAAATATGTAAGAAAAATCTTGAAAAATCTTCTTCTCAAGCACAACTGGGCCAGAAAAACTGAAACTTATGTGGAAGCATCCTGGGGTAGTGTAGATACTAAATTGTAAAAATCATGACCCCTGGGGGTAGGGCGGGGCCACAATAGGGAATCCAATTTTACATTGAAATATGTAAGAAAAATCTTCTTCTCAAGAACAACTGGGCCAGAAAAACTGAAAATTATGTGGAAGCATCCTGGGATAGTGTAGATTTTTAATTGTTAAAATCATGACCCCAAGGGGTGGGGCGGGGCCACAATAAGTATTAGAAGGGGGGAAATCTGGTAAAGAACAGAATGGCCAAAGTTACTCAGGTGAGCGATGTGGCCCATGGGCCTCTTGTTTCAAGACTTAATAATCAGGTCAAGGTCAATATGAAGTCGGGGGTCAAATAAAAAATTGGCAAATATTAAGTCCCAACTAACTGACTTTTTTTGTAAATTAAAACCCTGCCTGTGCCCACCTGTAAAACCCTTGTACCATCCAGTGTATGCTGCTTTAGTATAGATAAAGTTGATAGCGTTTTATGACTTTTTCATCTGCTTTCAATTTGTACATACTATGTATATATAGATATTGTATAGTTTCAAAGTATGTACATCCTTCATATAGCTATGGTCATATCCCACTGGGAGAAGAATTTCACTGGTCATTGTATTTAATTTAGCTTTTCCTCAAGATTTAGAAAAAAAAACTGCATGAACTATGATAGGCAGACATAGAGGTCTTTGATATTGGATCACACACCTAACACCAGAGATAGATGATATTAAGTTTGCCTTTGATATACACACCTAAAGAAGAGATAATTACACTACAGATGCAATGAAAGTCATGTGTAGAGCCCTTCAATGTAATGGACTATTATGTCAGCCAATATCTTGACCATCTATGTGCAGTCAAAACAGGGCTTTTGCCATGTTCACTCAACATGGCTGTTCATAAGGTAGTATGTTTAATGTCACAAATCCTAATTTTTTGTAGGATGAACTTGTGTGTGCTTTTATCCTTAATTACTCCATGATGAAAAACCTTTTCATGGCAAAACCCAGACAGTAAAAAACTGAAATATTGGTTTAAAGAAGATGGACACGTTAATGTGATTTGTCGAGCTATTTACTACAAAAGGATTTTATAGGCAATTAGCATTATTTGTTTGGTTTGGAACTTTTTATCATGTACAAGTCGAGTCACTTTGGTAATCAATCATTCATTGTTATTTTTTAACAGTTATTTTTAATTTCAAAGTTTCAACTAATCTGTATGGTTTTAGTTCTTTTTTTTTCGGGGGGGGGGGGGGTCAATTATTGTGTGTTTTCATACAGAAAAATAAAAATTGTTAATATTTCAAAACATGGTGGTGAAAGCATTAAGTTTTTAAAATTTCAGCCTGACCAGTGTGTGGAAAATCCAGAGGTTATTAACTACTTCTCTGAGTTTATAGGTTGTTGGCAGGTTTTAATATTGTTCTTTGTTTGAAAGTTAGGAGATAATTAATCTGGGTCTGTCCACTACACTTTGTTTACAGACAATATGTCTTTTCGGGAATTATCTTGCAGAACATAATTGTGTGCAACAGAGACTTGGTATTTCTTCAAGGTAGAAGTTTCGGATGAAGGTCATGCATATAGGTCAAAAGTCAAATGCAATATTAAACAAGAGGCCCATGGGCCACAATGCTCACCTGAGTAACTTTGGCCCTGCTGTTCTTCACCAGATTTTCACCTTGTAATACGTATCCCCGGGGATCATGATTTGTACAATTTAAAATCTACACTACCCCAGGATGCTTCCTTGTAAGTTTCAGCTTTTCTGATCCAGTTTCTTGAGAAGAAGATTTTTAAAGATTTTTCTTGTATATTTCAATGTAAGACTTTGATTTCCCATTGTGGCTCCACCCTACCCCTGGGGGTCATGATTTGAACAAGTTAAAATCTACACTACCCCAGGATGCTTCCTTGTAAGTTTCAGCTTTTCTTGCCCAGTGTTCTTGAGAAGGAAGATTTTTAAAGATTTTTCCTATATATTTCAATGTAAAACTTTGATTCCCCATTGTGGTCCGACCTTACCCCCAGGGGTCATGATTTGAACAATTTAGAATCTACACTATCCCAGGATGCTTCCTTGTAAGTTTCAGCTTTTCTGGCCCAGTGGTTCTTGAGAAGAAGATTTTTAAAGATTTTTTTCTATATATTTCAATGTAAAAATTTGATTCCCTATTGTGGCCCCACCCTTCCCCAGGGGGTTATAATTTAATCAAGTTAGAATTTTCACTACCCCAGAATGCTTCCTTGTAAGTTTTAGCTTTTCCCACCCAGTGGTTCTTGAGAAGAAGATTTTTTAATGACCCTACCTTATTTTTGTCTTTTCTTGATTATCTCCCCTTGTAAGGGGGTTTGTTAGTTCATTTTAACAATATAAACTCTCCTTCACCCAAGGATGCTTTGTACCAACTTTGGTCAAAATTGGCCCAGTGGTTCTTGAGAAAAAGTTTAAAATTTGAAAAGTTTACAGACAGATGGACGGACAACAGGTGATCAGAAAAGCTCACTTGAGCTTTCACCTCAGGTGAGCTAAAAAATAAGGATCTGCTACTCACTAACTTGGAACTGTACTTCAAGCAAACTTTTTAAGAACAGACAGGAAGTGCATGCATTGTATTAATGTATTTATGAAAAAGAGGAATTCAGTGATTGACGTAAAGATTAATGCTATGAGCACTATTGCAAAATTCACAATGTTTCAAATATGATCTTTGTATTCTTGGAAGTTATTCTTGTGTTAAAGTCATGAAAGTTTCACTATATATTTTTTTTTTTTTTTTTTTTTTTGCAGCATTCCTCATAGTCCTTTATCAGACGTTCCAGCTCTCAGTCTACGAAGCCCTTTAGCACGAGAACCAGTCACAAACTTAGCAGCCCGCATTCACTGGGAACAGCTTCAGCGAAACTATTATCAACAAAGTCCCCTATCACAACGAAGATATAGTCCATCCAGTTTGCCAGGTATGCATAAAGCATTACATTTTTAAAGATGAAGTTAAAAAGAGAATTAATTTTTATAAGCCATACATGGCAATATTTATAATGTACGTTTTTTCACCCATATGTCAGCTCTTTGTATTTAGCTGAAGTCTTGCATATTATGAGTCGTAAGATCATCAGATCTTATGGTATATAGGAATTATGTGTCCTACTTCATGATTTTTAGCTCTACTGGTCAGAGACCAGAAGAGCTTATGCGATAGTAAGATGTCCGCCGTCCGTTCATCTGTCTAGCTGTCCGTCAGTCTGTAAACAATTTTTCAAAACGCTACTCCTCCTACAGTTTTGGTCTGATTTCAGTATAACTTGGCACACAAGTAGACTACACTAAGATACATAATTTAGTGCATCGGTTTTTGATTTCGATGAACGGTGTTGTCATGATTACTAAAAATAGAAAGGATGATGTGACATAACTGCTATCTGGGGCCCCCTTTTCTACGACGAATTATATTTAATCTACAACGATTTTGATAGTTTTCAAACATGAGTGAATAAATACGACGCCTTTTGAATAGTTTCAATAGTTCCGACATATTTTAATTATAAGGATTACTGCATTATCTATGATTTTTTAGACCCTATGACCAGCTGATGACAGCTTTGTGACAATATGTTCTTTTATGAAAAGAGAATAGGCGGGTCTTAGTACAATAGACGGATATGCATGTCCGAGAAATTTACCTTATATGGCTATAGTCATTATTTCGCACATAGTCACTTACCGAGAACAATTGTCCAATCCGATGACAGAACGACAAACATGCTGTCGTTTACTACATTTACATTTTATCACAGACACATGGTTTAGGTCAATTTACACATTATCTCTACCACATTTCAAACTTTTAATGGTCAGCCAAGGCTGTTTATACATAATAATACGCATGGGACCTCAGCGTTTACCGCTCTGGGTCAAGAAATGCACATGAAACTTGTATTCACTCGTGTAGACCCAGCGAATTGCCCACCAAACGCTTTACAAAACTTTAAATTATGTATATTTAATTATTTATAAATCGATTGTTTGTAACTGTGAGCTGGGAAATTGTAGATCCGTGCCTAATCTGTGACTCAAATGCATAAAAAATTGATTATCGGAACGTAGGTAAAAAAGCCTTTTTTCCAAGCATAAAATTTTCTTAGTATTTTTGTGGTACTCACTAGCTAGTAATGCATCTCATTTAGCTGATTGGTCAGTTAGAAAGTATGGCCAGTGCCTCGATTAGCATATGAATATATTCTTTCGTCAAAAAAAAAAAAATAGTTTCGTCGATCTGTTCATAATAGGAAAGGACAGCTAGATTTTACCATTTTTTTAAAAACAACATGTGAGCGCAGTTAGGTACATTTTTCTCCTTTCACATATAGGTAGATTTCAATAAAATACAATGACCAGCCAAAGGAGAAAAATGTACCTACTTGCGCTCGTATATTTTAAGGGCTTCAAAGAGTGGGGCGGGGCCAAAATTCAATGGGAATCGGATGTAAACATGGTACCCCTACCCAAATGAAAGATCTATATCTTCCAAATTACGCTTCTATTTTTGTTAAAAGTAGTTTTCCATAAGGGTACACATATCAGTGATTAGTTGCATGCAAAAATTAGAGTAAAATTTGGACATTGAATTTTTTGTCAATTTACCGGGGGCCGTATGTCACATCATCCTTTCTGTGAAATACTTTCAAAACACTACTCCTCCAACAGTTTTTGTTTGATTTCAATATAACTTGGCACAGAAGTAGACTAAATTAAGATACATGATTCTATTTATTGTTGCATGTTGCAAAGTTTCAAATCCAAGTGCTACTTTTCCTTTGTTATATGTACAGACCAGTAGAGCTATAGTCTCATCAGAGACTTCTGGTTTTGATATTGGGCTCATTGTGAGGCCAAGATGGTGCACTTTGGATAGAAAGTACTTCTTCATGACCTAATTTTGAAAAAGGAAGTCAATGCATAATGAAAAAGTGTGCAGGTCATTTTGGCACATTTCAGGGAACCTGGAACAATTTTAGATGATGTAATTTTTCTCTGAGAATAGTTTTTGATGTAGTTATACTATGTAAATATTATATGGAAACTGCTGCCCGTCTCCCCTCTTTTTGTTGCTGTATGGTCAAACACTGGCAAATTTCACTAAAAAAAATGGACTGAAAAGTTAGAGAAGGCCATTCCATCGTATAGTCCTGAAGATATAAGGTGTGACAGACAGACAGATGCCAGATAAAGTGCTCCCTAAGCGTCTCTTTGCTCTGCAAGCAACACAAAATTTCTCCATATTGGGGGCCTATGCGGCCTCTGGACCCCCTCCTTATGATTTTTTTATTTCATGATGTTGGTGGCTCTATAAGGTATCTGTAAACCTATATTTTTATTTTCAGGATTACCACTAGGAGGTCCTGGTTCCTTGTATGGTGATTACCCTCCTAGTCATGTGTCACACAGTGGGCGGAGCATGTTTGGGGACATTCCTCCCACCCCAGGAAGTGGAAGTATAACCCTCCCTGGATCATTGGAAGGTAATCCAAAGGACTTCTCAAAATACTGTGTGTTGAGTATTCTAGACAGGGGAATTAATACTATGGTTGTAATTTTACCATGTTCTCAATTTATCATTTTTCCATGAAATTAAACCCATAGTGAATAAGGTTGACTGATCACACAATAAAGTATCTGTCAGAAGGGATGTGCCTGTAGGCTTATAGAGTGGAATTCAAGCCAACGTGATTGGTACACTTGTAACAAATCGTGAGATTTTAGCACAGTGGAAATAAAACAACTTACAGTATACTGTAAACCAACTTTTATTCATGTGCGAGAAATATCCGCTAGTTTTGCGACTTATGTAAATTTGCGAAAAATAATCACCGAGAACTATTTATTTTGCTTTGTATTTGTAGAGAATATTTCTTCAGTCCTGAAAATTAATCATCACAGACTGATTTCAAACTGACGAATCGCGAATAAAAGATGACACGAATAATAGTTTGTTTACAGTATATAATAATTAAATCATCATGTACAGTGAAACTTGTCTAATCCAAACATTGTCTAATCTGAATGTTGTCTAATCCGGTCAATTTCTTTGGAGCCATTGGTGGCCAGATTAGACAAGTTTTACTGTATATTGAATTCAAATTTGTTCAAGTCATGGTCATCAGATGCATAATTGGGACTGGAGTTGGGTAACATAGTTTTTTTTATTTTCTAATACTTTACAAAGAAAAATATATATATATTCTTATTTAATGTAGATGAAGTTTCAATAACTCAGATTTTATTTGTTGATTGACACTAAATTATCATACTTTTATATCATGAATGTGGGTGTTTGGTATAGAAATCTTTCATTGTGATCTATGAAGGCTACAACACTCATTGACTGATAGATCACATAAATTTCACTAATGATTGTTTCAAAAGTCAGAGATACCAATGTAAATTGCATTTGAGTTTGCACTATATTTGCGAGGACATTATCAATAAAAATCAAACTGATCTGATCACATAGTCACAACCTAAAGGGACAATACATATGATTCACCTGAGAGTTCAGGTAAGGGAAAATGGCCACAAAAAACGATATAAACACCTCCCTGCTATCAATGTCCAGTGAGGTATTGGCTTTATGATTTTGATGACTTCTGTGCCTTCCTGCACTAAGAGACCTTCAGTAGCATGCTCTGTCAACCAAGGGTGGCTATCTGGGCCAGGCTGATTTATGTCACAGACAGGTGTTTCTTCTACAGAGTGAAAACAAACGTCCAGTTCATCATGTCCTGTGACTCCAGCATTTGTCAAATATCTACATAGATAATCTGCGGTGTTCAGTGGCATGGTGCTAATGGCAGGTCAATTTTGTTTGATGTGAAGACCAGAATATGAGGCTGTGTCTCAGATATGATGATGAATCTGTTTATTAGGCATAAACTTGATATGTAGGCAGGGCAGAAAAGTGAAATGTGTACATAGATATATCCTGAATGATATGAAAGTTGAAAATAATATTTATACGACTCTTTTAGCCAAAGTTGAATAATCAGCATCAATCAACTTATTAACCACATTTACAATGATGCAGCATTGCCTTGCATGCAAAGAATAACAAATATATTACAAGTGTCTCATTGTAGAAGTTAATTAATGAGCTGGTTAATATTACACATTAATGTTTAATATTAAATCATTGAAGCATTTTTTTTTTTCCTTAAACAAAATTAATCTTTAGGGTTTTGGATCAGAGCTTTAGATGTTACAGAAACAAGATTGACAAAAAGTAGTCTTTTTTGTTATATTTTAAGTAATATGGCTTATTCATTGGGACCTTCTTCTCTGTTTCTTAATTTTCTTAGAGTATACTGTAAGCCAACTTAATTATTAATTGTGAAAACTTTTTTTTTTTGCAATTGTTTGAAATTCAATGGTGACTTTTATTATTGTGATTTTTAGGAGACTTTGTGCAGAAATACACAATTAAGTAAGATAAATATGTCACAGGGAGAAATATTTGCAACTAAACAACAGTCGTGAAACTCATGGTTACAGTACCCGCATCGTTATTCTTTACAGGATACACGATACGATAGGATACACGCACGATACGATAGGATAAACGCACGATACGATAGGATACACGCACGATAGGACAGGATACACGCACAATAGGATAAACGCAAAACACGATAAACGCAAAACACGATAGACCTGATAAACGATCTTCACGATAGGATAAACGCAAAACCTGATAGGATTGTTTCAAAATGTGAAACGTTTTTTTAACAAGACGAAAAATTTCCTGTTTGATATACTGCAGTATGATAATTTTAATTACTTACAAAGCCGCAAATCGAGATGATAAAACATTTTAAATTTATCATGATAAAACATTTGAAGTAATTATGCTTTGTAAAAGATACGGAGTTTTTTTGTCAATAAAATTGATTGTCATCAAATTCAAACTGTAATTATTTTAAGATTAATTCCACTATATGATGGATATAAGGCGATTTTTTGTGTAATAATACAAATGTCGAAATTCCTTCGAATCGTTAAATTTGAATTTTGAGTCCGTAGACAAGCGAAGTTTTACACCCAAGTGCAAAAAATTCACGCTATAAATATATTCATTATTTTAACAAATAAAACCTTATGAAATTCATAACAAACATTGATTATTTTTACGGAAAAACATGTAAAAAAAAATGAAATATTTGGATTCAAAATCTTTTGCTAGAAGTCTGCGAAGTATCCAAAATCGCCTTTAATAGTTTGTATGTAATAATTCAAATCTTACCAAAAAAAATACTAGTCATAATTTAGAGGGGAAAAATTAAAAAAATATTGTTATAATTATTTTAAGGTTAATGCTTTCTCCTATAAGTTTTTACGATTTTAATTTATATTTTATATAAATTAATTAATTTTTTTATGTTTTAAAATTGCTGAAATTGCTAGTTGCATTGAGAAAGACCATGCACTGGACTGTGATTAATTAATCTCTCCCATATATAAATATATATGTCACACATATCCTGTGCACATAGAAATTATTTACATTTTCCAAGTACATACATGTACATTGTATATGTATAGATGAGGAAGGAGACCGGCGAAAGAAATCGAATCTAATAAAATTAATAAACGTCACTAGATCTGTCATCATCTATTATCCGACAAAATATCGCATTTCCATTCTTTTGTATTTATTTTGTTATTTAAAATGTTATAGGCCTGTAAGATTAAGCTAGAAGGAGCATGCAGTCGTATAAATAAAAAAAAAAAATTACAGTGTACCAACATGTGTAGTACACAGTAGTAATATAATGCTTATATAATATTGCCCATCGACAATAATAATGTCTTTAGCCATTTTTGTTTGCTTTTCAAAACATTTCTTTTTAGACCCCCCCCCCCCCCCCCCCCAAATAAATGATATTGCTTTCTTAGCGTGCTTCTGTTATAAGCATTTACAATAACAGAATTTGTATCTACTATAGATACGTGTATACTAAGCTTACAATGTATGTGAATATATTTATTGGGTACTTAAACTTTGTATTAAATAAATAACATTGAATGGTTACGTACAATTGTTTACAACATATTAGAACACACACACAAAATAAATAATAAATCAATTTCCACAATTTGACAAGTGGATTTTCGGATTGAATAATTGTCAATTATTGCTATTAGATTTTGTAATAATTGTTACAGAACTTATCTTATATAGGACGACATCGGTAAAATTAGACAAAACTTATGAAAGCCCCCCCCCCCCCCCAACCCCAAAAAAAAGAATCCGATTTAAAAAGCCCCCCCCCCCCCAAAAAAAAAAATAATAAAATAAATAAAATAATAATAAAATAAATAAATAAACAAATAAAATAAATAAAAATATATACTGACTTCTTCAATATAGTCATGTATTATATGCAATCGATAAACACGAATAAAATTAAATACAAGGTATTTACCAGTCTTGTGTATCACCGCAGAACGGGGCGATTTCTTTTTTTTTCATGTATCTTTGAGACGCCTTTACATGTAACAACGACAGACAACACAGAAAACCCTAAGATCCAGAAGTACCGCAAGCACATTTTTTTATTTGATCACACCAATCATGTTTATGACTGTAAACCTATGAAAATTACATAAAAATATACAAATGAACTAAATCAACGGAGTTTGGAGGACAAACCTCGCCTATATTTTATTTGATTCAATTCTTCATTTTTTATTCTGTAACGGAAGTGTACGTTTACCAATTTTCTTAGTATAAAATCTTTAATTGTTAATTAAGTGTTGTTCATACAAATTATGAACAATATCCAGAAGATAAGTAGATGCATTTCATTGAAACCCAGTTGGGTTCAAGGTAAATACTTGACACCAGGTGAGAGCTGGAGTTCAGATATGTCTACGTTGAATACACACGGGCCGGCAATAAAGGGGAAAGGGGGGGGGGTCTTGACTTGACAAGAAACAGTGTACTGATTAGGCAGGTAGGTGTCAGTTCTCTTTTCACGGGAGCGCTTCCACCTGTCACTAAGTTACGGTATATATTACTTCATTTCCGCGCCGAAGTAGGTAAGATGTATAATAATAAAAATTTGTGTGGTTTTGTTTATTTATTTATTTATTTTTTACATCCTCTAAATGCAGTAGTTAAATATGAATGGCAAACATCTATATTATAATATATACTTATCAGATGATGAATTGAATGGAGCATGTTCATGTATAATAAATTGTCATTAAACTTGTAGGTACATAAGAGAAACGAATGGATAAAAAATAATAATACAAAGGAACAGCAAAACTTGACGCATAGACAAAATTTATGTTTCCGTTATTGTTAAAAAGGATAGACTTCATAAAGATGCTGATTTTTTTTTTTTATTCATAATTTATTTTTGGCACACATACCTAATGTTTTATGTTTCTATAATTATCAAAACAAAGTTAATAAAGGTCTTGCTTTTTTGATTATAATATTTCTATCTTTGACAAAAATATTTTTTACATATCGACAAATTAAAAAAAAAATAACGAATGACTCAAGTAGTAGATCGATTATTTCATATACAAAAAATAGAATTTGACTTTCAATTTATGCTCTCTGCTTGGTCACGGTACTTGGCGTTTATTTATTTATTTATTTGTTTAGTTATTTATTTATTTATTTTCTTAAAAAATTATACCAGAGTTAGAGTATTGATTTCTCTTTCTGTTCAACAGTTAGATTAATCCTAAATAAATTAACAAAACGAAAGATGAACTCGAGATATCTCGGGTGTTTCTTTTCAAGGTAAAGATAAAATGCGAGGGTTTCCGAATGCACACGATAAACGCAAAACACGATACACGATAGAACCTGATAAACGATCTTCACGATAAACGCAAAACCTGATAAACGGAAAACACGATAGAAAACGCAAAACCTGATAAACGGAAAACACGATACGATAGGATACACGCACGATACGACAGGATACACGCACGATACGATAGGATAAACGCACGATAGGACACGATAGAATTGTAAAGAATAACGATGCGGGTACTGTATTTCTTACAGGCAGATAAAAGTTAGTTTAACACAGTTACAGACTTTTGCAGCTCTTTTTCTCATATTTTGCTAGAGAAAGTGATAAACTTATGAGTAAAGATGGACAAAGACTTTCTTTGTGATAAATATCTTTGTGGCTTTTCTTTCATGCTTTTAGCAGTCCTTTATGAAGTACTAAGAGTATAAAATGGCCATTAGTATAGACAAAAAGTGTTCTAAATGTGTACAACTTATAGCTTTATTATTGTTTATGACCTACCATATTAGTAAAGTTGATAGACCAACATTACTTATAGTATGATATAAATATCCCATTGAATAGAATGTTAACTGACACAAATGATAGAAAAATAAAATTAAATGAGTCTTTAAATATTTATCCTATTACGAAGATTTTTATTCGAGTGAATTGTTGTGAAATCTAGCAATATAAAAACAATTTATCCTAAAATCCCTCTCTACCTAAAGCTAGCCCTTGCACAATGATAACATGCTTGGTACACATGATGGTTCTCTTAAATCACGCTGTTTATGGAGAAAGACATCAAATGATAACCAGGAGATCATAAACCCAGGTGGATGGGAGATTTAGATGACCATTTTGTCCCAGAGGCATGCAGACATTCCATACAAATGACTGTATATATACATATTTCTATTCACTGGAAGAAAAACTTACCTGTAAAATGTTTGAAATTATATTTGTTACCATATATAATATATTGTTATTGATACATAATTTGAATTTTCTGATAAATAACAAAGAGTGATGAAATTAGAATTGAACAACGTGTGTTTGTGAAGCTCTGATGTCCCTGTATGGCAGCTCATGGCCAAGGTTAAAGTTTTGCAAAAATAGGTCAAACTCAAAGTCAAGGTTGACTTGACTCAAAGAAAGGTCTTGTCACAAGAAATACATGTGAAAATGAAAACTTTATCCATTCAAACATTATAGCCAAGGTTAAACTTTGGTTAAAGTTTTTCCAAAAGTAGGTCTAGGTCAAACTCCAAGTCAAGGTTGACTTGACCCAAAGAAAGGTCTTGTCACAAGAAATACATGTGAAAATGAAAACTTTATCCATTCAAATGTTATAGCCAAGGTTAAACTTTGGTTAAAGTTTTTTAAAAGTAGGTCATTCTCCAAGGTCATGAGGTCAAAAATGTTGGTAGCCAAAAGGAAGGTCTTGTCACAAGGAAAACTTGTGAAATGTGAAATCCCAAGCATTAACCTTTCAGAAGTTATGATCAACGTTAAAAATGTCACCAAGATCATGAGGTCAAAAATATTGGAATCCAGAGAGAAAGGTCTTATCAAAAGAGAAATACACGTGTGAAATGTGAAAGCCCTAACAACAACCATTTAAATGTTTTGGCCAGGTTAAAGTTTGGTTTAAGTTTTTTTTTCAAAATCACATCAAACTACAAGGTCATGAGGTCAGTAATGTTGGTACCCAAAGAAAGGTCTTCTCACAGGGAATATGAAAGCCTTAGCATCAACTGTTAAAAATTATGGCTAAGGGTAAGGTTTTTGCAGACAAAAAGACAAACAGTCAGGATGGACAGGGCTAAAACTATGTGTCCCAAAATTTCCAATTGTGAGGGCATAAAAAGATCTGAATTCAAATTGTGTCCGAAAAGACAGCATATCAGAAAGGGGTTTTAAGTAGCAAGATCTATTTTTTTTAAAAATTCACTCGAAAATTCTGTTGTAGGTTCGCGTCTGACCAGTCCAAGACCTAGTATTGTTGGTCGCAGTCGGAAGCGAGCCCTGTCCCACTCTCCGATCTCTGACTTCCTTGACATTCAGAGTCTAACTCGCAGCTCCGAGGGGTCACTACAATTCAATCCCTTTAACCTGAGCACCCATAATTCTCGAAGCTCAAGTGCTGCCAGTGGGTCATATGGACATTTGTCTGCAGGTAAGATATTTTGAAACTTAAATTTTTTTTTTTTAGTTCAAACATATCACTTTTAACTCCATTTTTAAGAACAAACTCATTGTCATACTGTAAATTTGAAGTGTTGAAGAAACTGAAACTTTGTCAAAACGGACAAATGAATTAAAATCATCAATATTTTACAATAGTCAAATTTGTCGTCATTGTTCAAGAGAAATGAAAGGTACTAACAGATTCTCAAAATTTCTGTATGCTAAATTTCTAAAAATTTATGGTGAGATTTTCATCCTATCAATATAACTACTTTTACAGTATGATGTATTGATAGTGCAAACATTAAATTAGCACTATCAATATTTCTTTGAAATATATGTATAGAAGAATCAGACATTGGAGCTATTTATGAATTAGCAAAAAAAAAAGGTTGTGCCAAAAATGCTAAAATAAGAATAGTGCTAAAACAAACGTCAAGTAAATGACAGCAAATTGTATTACGCAAAAAAACATTGTTCAAGATTCTCAAATTCATAGAATCTTTGGCAAATACTGGTCTTGAAAAATCATTGGAAAGTCAAGACAGTTTTATTTATAAAAATCCCAACGTATGCTTTCTCTTAATTCTTTCACATAGATCCTATTAAAATGTTCTGTTAAAATTTAACACACCCATGTCTACATGTTCGTTTTTAAATATTACACTATATTCTGTAAACTTATGAGAATTGAGTTCAATATTAAAGAAGCTCTGAAGCAGCAGCTTGGAGTAAAATTTAGAAGTTTTTGTTGGAAACAAAGTGGTGCAGTCTTTCCATTTGTCTTTAAAAAAAATCAAGCTGTGCTCGTGAACTGACCTCTGACTAGATACAGTCTACACTTAGTAAACTTCTTTTGTACAAATGAAAAGAGGTCACTTAAATCTAGTGTAACAGAACTTGCAGTGCAAAAAAACCACACTGAGAATACTTTGGTTCTGTGGTTAGGATAGATAAAATGATAAACTTAAGAACTCTGTAATTGGGATGAACGGGGTTTATCATTTGAATTGACAGTGCTGATTACTAAACACAGTCTTAGTTTTTGGGAAACTTCAGAATTAATTATTAGCTTAATGATAAATGAATTTGCTTAAGAGAAGAATCCATTATTTGTAACAGTGAAGTGTTTTGTGCCAAAAGCTCATTTCTCAGAATTTGTAAAAGCTGCAGGATATTTAAAATTGGAAAATTGTGTTTATATAATGCACAGATTCACCCAAGCTTAGAAAAACCACACATATGGTTTTATCTGCTACAAATCAGACAGTTTATTGTGCAAATTATAAAGTGTAATATTGAGAATGAATCAGTAGCACCTGCATGTGCTTGATCGTTTTATGTGATACAGTTGATCCCCTAATGTCTGCCAATGTTTTCTCACCCTAAACTTCTTTTGCCTCAAAATATTAAGCAACCCTTCAGAAGATCCATTATTTTTGCTGAGAAAAACTCTGATGAGACCTAATAGATGTTTTTATTACTAAAAGGTATAAACAAAGATCAGTGTATAATGTGGGCACTCTGGTTTTCCTTTTTGTGGCCTCACTTCCTCCTTAGTGAGTCTGCTAGTTGGTATCCCGGTGATTTATGAATTGCATCACAAATTCCATGGAGCCTGGTTTTCTGAACTTCTTCACATTAAGTTTTGTACTGTAGGTATACCAGGTTCATTCCATAAGTATTTACCTCAAGAATAATGGATCTTCAAATGGGAGGTTGGAGATTGCTAGAGTGGGGTCTCCCCTACAGCACTGAATGTATGGGGCTCCACCTGGGGAATGTAATGATAATTTAATGGTTTTGATTATAATGAAAGGTAAATCAAGTTGCAATGAAGAGGTTTGATCCAGCCAGTAAATAAAATATCTCTCATTGAAAATTTTATGAACACTACACATGAAAAATAAAACATGCAATAGTCTCTCTGCGCTTTTACACATTGTATTGCCTGTCTAGATAATTGCCTATAGAGCTGGTGTTTGTTGATATATGTTTTTGTAGAGATATATCTTCTTTGAAGCTAGACTTGCAATCATTTTGTGTGTCTAATGGACCTGATGGAATTTCTCAAAGTTTACAGATTTGTTATTTTAACTACATCTGATCTCAAGTGGGGTTCCACAAGGCTTAAACAATTTGACTGTCGTTTCTAATTTTGGCCCTTGTATTTGTATACTGATCAAAGTTCACTCACATTGAACACATACAGGTGCTAGCTTCAAGACAACTTGCAGAACAACTTTGCTGCAGAGCAACCCTATTTTCTTTCATTTTAATTGCCTTCATGTTTTTGCTAATTAACTGGTGACTAATGGAAAATACAAGTTCAGCAAAACCATCTTCTAAGGGTCCCTCTTTTGAAGTTTTCTGGAGATAAACAAAGATTTTTTAGGTTTTGTGTACTTGCTGTTATCTCAAAAAGTTGTGAGCATTCTAATGATCAACCTCCATGTAGAAAATATGGGAAAATAACAAATGAATTGAGTTCTCTCATGATTTTTCTATATTACATGTATTGAGCAGATTATTATTGAAGTGATTTTAGTAATTTTGAGTGCATCTGATGGTAAATTTGCACAATATTTTTAACGAATTCATCTTAGTCATTCATTGATCTGTTGTTATATATCCCTTTCCATCTGCTATGGAACATCTATAAACTTTTAAACATTTTTAACTTCTCACAATAACCATTTTCCAATTTCCACTGGCCAACTTACCTCATAGCATCCTTGAGTGAGAGGAATTCATTGAAGGGTCATGGATTAATTAAAAGTTTTCTTTTGTAGAACCACTTGCCCAGAACTAAAATGCCAAAAATTATTTGGAGCTTAGTCAAGTTTCAAATTGTTCAAAGAATAACCCTTGGACTATAAAAGGGTCAACTGGGAATAGCCCTTGGACTATAATAGGGTCAACTGAGGTCATGCTTAAATTTGTTGCCTTGCCCCTTGGTCCAGGATGGGGCTATAAAAGAAGTTCAAGATGATAAACTGAAATTAATGCTGAAAAATCTTTACAACAATAATTCCTCTCAAGAAATTCATGTTTAAGGGAGCAGATGTAAAAATTAATAAGCAGACATCCTCACAAAGTGCAATTTTTTCCCCTTTAAGTTTAAAATTTTGGCTCATTTGGCAGGAAAACTTGAAACAGAAATATATGGGGGGATATAGAAAGCCTTATATGTCTTTATACTGTTTTTCAAATATATATATATATCTCTATTGTGATTATGCTAAGCTTGTACGTTTTTATTGTACAGTTAAACCTCATTATCTCGAACTCAATGGGACTGAGAAAAAACTTTGAAATATCTAGGGTAAAATACTCAAAGATTAAGGGTTTAATTGGGACTTCCAAATCACTTCGACATATCCATGGTATTTGAGACATCAGTGTTTGAGATGCCAAAGTTCAACTGTAATTACTGTTGTCAATGAGTGCCCGGTTAATTAACTGATTAATTGTCAAACAATGTGAATATTGGTTATATATAGTAACACTGCTACTCTGTTACTTGGATAAAAGACTAAAATAGAAAAGAGATCTTAAATTGTTCATAAATGAATACTTACATGTGTTCCCCATTTTTGTCCACTGTTTTTGTGAAAGCAAGGGGACATTAAATCTCATTCATCTATCAGGCAGTCTATCACAAAAACTTTTACCTTGGTCATAACTTTTGAATAAGAAAAGATAGGTCTTTTTTATTTCACATGTATATTACCTATGACAAGACCTTTCCAAATGCAATATGATTTTTGATCCAGTGACCTTGATGTTTAAACTACTTTTAAAATTTTATTTGTGTTTTGAACATATTTTATTGACAATGTGTCAAAGGGATTGGACACAAGTTCTAAAAACTTACTAGATAGTCCTCTCCCATACATAAAATCTTAATAGCCATACAACATTTGCAAAGATTACAATTTTACAATATTATACATGAACGTAGAAGAACAAAGAATTTTATTTGTATGGGAGTTCATTTCCTTCAGGCAGATTCAATTCTGGTATTTTTGAATGTACAAGTCTGTTACAATATCTCGCTTTCAAACTTGGATATTTTTATTTCAGCATCTTTGGGGGCTGTCAGTCCTGCACATCAGACACAATTGCCCTATTTTAGACCCACTGCCAGCAGCATGCAGGGCCCACCCTTCATGCATCCCATGATGCAACAACCCATGATGGCTCCTGGGAGGATGCACCAGGGTGGGCCCATGGGAATGCCCCCCTCTACACAGACATCACTGCCACCTCAGCAGCCTCCACCTAAGACTGACCATTCACAGGTAAACAAACCACATAGCATCAAATATTTTTTCATACCACAAACAGACTTGCTAATTTTACAAATTTGTCAAAAAAAATTTTCTCTGTAATTTTTTTTCCTCACCTGAGCAGAAAGCTCAAGTGAGCTTTTCTGATCACCTCTTCGTTGTCCGTCCACATTTTCAACTTTTTCTCAAGAACCACTGGGCCAATTTTGACCAAAATTGGTACAAAGCATCCTTGGGTGAAGGGGAGTTTATATTGTTAAAATGAAGGGCCAAGCCCCCCTTACAAGGGGAGATAATCAAGAAAAGACAAAAATAGGATGGAGTCATTAAAAAATCTTCTTCTCAAGAACCACTTGGCCAGAAAAGCAGAAACTTATATGGAAACATCCTGGGGTAGTGTAGATTCTAAATTGTTCAAATCATGACCCCTGGTGGTAGGGTGGGGCCACAATGGGGAATCAGTTTTACATTGAAATATATAGGGAAAATCTTTAAAAATCTTCTTCTCTAGAACCACTGGGCCAGAAAGGCTAAAACTTACAGGGAAGCATTCTGGGGTAGTGTAGATCTAAATTATTCAAATCATGACCCCTGGGAGTAGGGTGGGGCCACAATGGGGAATCAAAGTTTTACATTGAAATATATAGGGAAAAAACTTTAAAAATCTTCTTCTCAAGAACCAGTGTGCCAGAAAAGCTGAAACTTACAGGGAAGCATCCTGGGGTAGTGAAGATTCTAAATTATTCAAATCATGACCCCCAGGGATAGGGTGGGGCCACAATATGTATTACAGTGGGAAAATCTGGTGAAGAAGAGGAGGGCCAAAGTTACTCAGCTGAGCGTTGTGGCCTATGGGCCTCTTGTATTTAGAATAATGATTGTTTTTTTTTTCTTGGAACAGTCACAGATTTCTACAACAACAAAGGATGCAGGCAGCAGTGTTGTAAGCAGTACTGTTGATCCCAACCCTATAGAGGTCAAAAAGTCAAAGATTAAGAAAGAGGCAGAATCACACCATGGATCACATAGTATATATATCTAATATATTAAAGCTTTCTCTTTTTACATGATTAAAAACAAATGTTTTAACAGTTTGGTTATTATGAAAAGATAATGAAGAGGAGGAAAAGAGAGATAACTCAGTTTTTTTTCGTTCTTAGGAGATTTGCATGATGATGATGAAAAGCCCACTATTGACTCTCAGGGAAAACATATCCCAGTGGAAGGGGAGCCAGACTTCATAGAAACAAACTGTCACTGGGAAAACTGTTCCCTCGAGTTCCCCACTCAAGATGACCTGGTGAAGGTACTATCAGTTATTTAAAATAAAATATTTAGAATAAATTATAGCTTGTTAAAAGTTTATAGTCACATTATAACAGCTGATCTTTGGAGCAAGTAAATGGGTAAAACATCTGTCAGAAATTATGTGGCTTATTAGGCATGATAAAACAACACAAAATGTCCACATTCTCTGTATATACAGGTGAGGGAAGAAAAAGGATTTAACAGGTTATTGTGACATTCATTGGCAAAGTCAAGTGTCAATGATATAGATTTTACAGCAACTTATTTTGTTTCTCCTTGGTATTAAAATCTTTTTGTGAATTTCTTTCATACTGTTTAAAAGAAATTTTTATGGTATTTCTGTCTGGTTGTAGCATATTAACATAGACCATATACAAGCCAACAAGAAGATGTTCATCTGTCGGTGGAAGGAGTGTAGTCGTGAGGAGAAACCATTTAAGGCCCAGTACATGTTGGTGGTTCATATGAGGCGCCACACAGGAGAAAAACCTCACAAATGCACAGTACGTCAAACAAACACATCATTATCTGTTTGTGCCTGGTTTCACTTAAAACGTTTATTTGAAGTCTTCATTATCAGTATTTATTATATAAGGCGCAAACCTACAACAAAATTTTATAAGGCACTTTGGTACTCAAACAGGGATAACCAAATTGAATGAAGAATAATGGGCATGCATGAAGACGTTTAAAAAATAGTCATAAAATTAGACTTAGCTATATGTATACAGTAAAACTTGTTTTGTACGAATGCAGATACAGGCAAAATTTTTAACAAATCCCTTGTAAAATTTTAGGGTTATAACAAACTCTGACATAGTGAATTTACAGATATAACAAACTGATTTTGTCCCATAGAGGTTGAAAATAATGAAATTTACATATTTTATAATGAATTTTTGAGATCTAAATATATAAAATGTTGAACTTACATTTATATTTGAAATTCAATTCATGGGAAAACTTTCATATCCCAAGGTAAGTTTTGTATTTAATACTTCCCTGAACAAATTTGAAGAAAAAGATGTAGATTGCAAATTCACTACTGTATGCAGGGAATTTTTTGCCTCCCATTTTATTTTTGCCCTTGTTGGACATGGGCTAATTTAAAATGGGGCAAATTCAAGAAAGACAACATGAACTCTTCAACAAAACTGTGTCTGGGCAAAAAAAAGAGGGCAGAATTGTTTGTAAGGGTATATAAACAGGCAAAAATAACACTGTATGCAGAATTTATTACACAGATATAACAAATTACAGATATAGTGAAGTAAATTCACAGGTCCTCAGGACTGCGCTGTAGCTGAGTTTTACTGTATATAGTTCATTTTGTACCTATAAATTTCTATCTTTTTGTACTTAGTTTGAAGGTTGCAACAAAGCCTACTCTCGCCTGGAAAACTTGAAAACACACCTCCGATCCCATACAGGCGAGAAGCCTTACATGTGCGAGTTCCCTGGCTGTACTAAAGCCTTCAGTAATGCCTCAGATAGGGCGAAACACCAGAACAGAACTCACTCTAATGCTGTAAGTCTCACCAGTACACACTCAATACTAACAGGTGGAAATGAATTATATTTGTTTACTTCAAAAATAAATGTAGTTTATAAGCAATTTTACTTAAATTGATAAAGAAAGTCGGGAGAATAGCATAAGGAAAATTTTATATTCTCAATAAATAGTCATTGATGAATAATCAATGATGAATCATTTCAGTAACAAATACAGCATCTCTTAATTAACTGTGTTCATTGTTACATTGTAGAAACCCTATATATGTAAGGCTCCAGGGTGTACAAAACGTTATACTGACCCAAGCTCTCTAAGGAAGCATGTGAAGACTGTCCATGGTCCAGAGTTCTATGCCAACAAAAAACATAAAGGTGACGGGACATGTAAACAAGAGAGGCGGGAAGAAGGAGATCAGGTATATCTTACTCAGGTTCATCTACAAGTTTATTTCGTATACATGCATCTTGGACTGGGTGTTACAGAATCAAGTTTATCTTTAATTTAGGTCATTCTTGATGTTATGCTAAAAGTAAAATGGCAAGATTGATAAGGTTGTTTTATGTTTGACTTCAGTGACATCAGTAGCATTTTTTAAAAAAATTTTTTGCAAATACACATAGTTTCAGGATACAAGAAAATTACTGACAGTGATTTTAAGATGTATATATATTGTGTCTTGAACAGGACCCAGATAAAAAAGATGACAGTCATAAGAAGGTGGAGGAATGTCTGACAGTAACCCCCCTTCATGCACTGGGAGGAGAACGACGTCAGTCTCAGGACAGTGTGGGGGGTAATGGGATGGGTCCTCACCACCAGTCTTCACCAGACAGCAGTCCTGAGGTGAATGTCACATGTAATAACCAACCAGATCTCATTGAGGACCACACCTCCCATGTGATTGACAGGCATGGTGACCTTGAGGAAGAGGAGGACATTCCAGAGCCGGAGGATGTTGAGGTAGTTTCTACAATACATCAAATATGAATATTAGACACAAGTTTAATATATGTTTTACTAGAGGCCTGTTCAACAGAGGGAGCTCTCACGAACATTTCTGTTGAAAGGATAAGGAATTTTGGCAAACGCTCGCGAAAGTTCACTCTGTTGAACAGGGCTCAGAGCTGCTAGAGTTAATCAAATTCATTTACATGTATTTCCTAATCTTTGTTCCAGATTCATGGGACAGCAACAGTTGTTGCTAGAACTAACAGACTGAACACAACTAGGACTCTTCAGCAAAAGTTAAAAACCCTGCCAAGCAAAGTAACTCTACCTCAGATATCCACATCAGGTAAAAATTGTACATGTAATATATATCTGTCTTTGGGGTGGACATCATTGAGTTCTCAAGTTTTTTGAACCATTCCATGGGCATCAATGAAGAAAGAACTTCTTTTCAGCTGGAGGACTCCAGAGGACTGAGCAATATAAATTTGAAATCTTGATGCTTTGAAATGATATATAAAATATTACCTCATATTGCATTTAGAAAATAGTAAAATACAAGAAGTTTGCAAAAAATTTCATTTAGTTATTCATAAAATAAGTAAATGATACTAAATGCTTGGATTTTTAATCACTTCATGTTTAATGTATATATTTTGATAGATCACTTCCTATGTTTATGTAATACATGTCTGTATTTTGATTTTTCTCAGGTAACCAACAGTGTAATCAGACTCCGTTCACAGACCTCAGCACTAAAGCGCTACACCTTAAAAATCCTCAGATCAAGCGTCTTACTCAAGATCTCAATAGTGAGTTCTCAATTATCACATATTCTTGTTATATCTGTAGTCAAACTTTATTTCAAACTCAGTATGGCTGACAAAAAACTTCGAGATATCCGAGGGTTTAAGATATTAAAGGTTAAGCTAGAACAAAGTATAGTGTAGCTACAATTATTTTGCAATTGATACATGTAATGTTATGTATATTTTTGTCAGCAGTCACTGTGACATGAAATTTTGTCTTTATTAATACATGTATTCTTAATAAGGGTGCAACGATAAACCGTTTGACGGTATATCGCGGTATATTTTTCCACGGTTCAATTCACGATACACTAAACTGATATCGCGGTTCGGTTCAATCGGTCCAGAATTATCCGTTTTGTCCGTTTTATTGAATTCCTTCTCTACTAGTTCAAAATGGCTTCCGCGCAAAACGTGAGGTCGCCGATAACGCATTTATGGCAGTTAAACTCATCTCCAGCATCTTACAGACCTCAGATTTAACACGAAGAAGGACTTAATGTGATTATAAGTTATAGATGTTAAGACAAATGATAAACCCTTTAGATCTATAAACGTATTCTTTGGTACTACACGATATTCCATCACGTGTGTATTTCGATGAAAATTCGCTGTCTTGTTGACTAAAACGTATTATCACAAGAAATATGACAACTGTTTTTCTACGTAAATAAAAGGAATAAAAGAATGAATGTCTTCCTTTTTCATTCCAATTTAAAAGGAAGATTATTAGGAAAGGTCCCCGTAGTTCCCTGTAAATGTTCATCATTGGTTTAGAATGTTGTCACAACTCAAAGATCTACCTAACAATCCAATTCAAGTTAACAAAATGTTATTTTAATTATTATTTAAAAATATGAACGTTTTGTATAACCCTGTCAAGTTTAAAAAAATATGATGACAAACTTGAAAGACTTTTTAACCTTGTCATGTATCGTGATACGTATCGTATCGTGAACTGAATACCGTGATACGTATCGTATCGTGAGGTTAGTGTATCGTTGCACCCCTAATTCTTAAATATACAGTGGTGAAGTTTGTTTAAATATAACTCACTCAATTATATAAAAAGTAAATTTTATATTTAAAAAATTGCTTGGTTGGGACCATTGACTAATTTCGACAACCAGTTATTTGATATATTCCAGAGGTCAACATAATAGTGTCTGACAGCTATAATATTAATTACATGTATATTGGATGTATTTATGTTGCATGCAAACAAGAACATTGAAAGGTAAACAGATGAATATGAAATGAAGTAGGAATTAAATTCTTTTTTTTATTGTAGATCGTAATGAGCTGGTTCCTGGAAATATATATGGAGTTGGCCGTCGAGACAGTAATACAAGCACGATCAGCTCGTACATGTCCAGTATGAGGTCAGAAACGAGTCCTTTCAATCCTGGTAGCAAATTCTCCAGCAGACGCTCGAGTGAGGCTTCTCAGATATCTGCTCGTCTCAGCATTACAAACTCACCTTACGAGTACGATATCACAGGAAACCTACCTATGCACATGCAGCAAGGTCATAGTCGTCGCTCAAGTGAATCGAGCAACAGCAACATCAGCAATATGGCTGCCCAGTTTTCAAAAACTCACTTGGGGAGTCACCCAAATCTCATAGTGCAATCTCAAGCTATTACCTTACGCAGCCCACATAGCAAATCACGAGAACGTGTTCAGAGGTTTTTATCAGCCAGGCATGACCTTGATGGAGCTAGGACAAGTACGCCCTGTAGAACCCCCCTCCCTCACGAGATCCCTAATCAAGAGAGGAGGAGGGCTAGTGACCCCGTTCGGACACTGGATCCAAACTTTAGTGCTCTCAAACGCCTTCAGAGGTTCCACAGCCTTAATATGATGAGGCCGCTACCTGTCCCACAGAACATGAAGTCATTACTGACAAAAACAGACTCCAACTGTACATTTAATTCGTCAAGAAGTAGCATAGCTACTGATAATAGTGTGCAGGAAAATGATGAGTATGAGAACGCTGCCGAGTTTGATAATGAGATGGAGCTCCTGGAGAAGATGATGGATGATAATGAGGATATGTTGATTCCGGATGACATGCAGCGCTTCCTCAATGAGCATTATTACCACTTGGATAACTCAATAGCAGAGACAGAAGTTGCAGCTTCATCTAGAGCAAGTATTATGACTCAAGACATGAACCAGACCACTCCCCTCCCAGGAGATATGGATACCAATATGCAGGTTAATGGTGGTTACTATGGAAATCAAGGCAGTAATCAGGATATGATGTACAACAATACAAGTGGAATGCAACAATTCAATAATAACACCAGATTACAAAACTGTGGTGATATGAATCAAAACAATATGCAACAAAATATGATGCAAACTATGCAAAACCATAATATGCAAGTTATGGGTGGCAATATGCCAATGAATCCTGTGTGTAATCAAGGATTTAATAATTTGCAAGGAACTCAAGCAAACATTCAGAATATACCTCAAGGTTCAAATATGATGCAAACTGGAATGCCTCACACTTCTAATTATGAAAATGGCCCTCTCATGTCTTCCAGTGGACCAATGCCCCATCCCCCTAATGTTCCCATGCCTCATCCTCCAAATGGTCCCATGTCTAATACCCAGAACTCACACTTACCACATCGAAATATATCACAACCTTCCCCCGGAAACCAAATGTACAGGACTATGCAACAAAACATGAACCCACAAATGATGCGAATGAACATGAATCAAAATGTGAACATGAACCAGTGGAATACAATGAACAATACTAACCAAGGAATACCTAATCAGCAATTCATGAATAACTCCCTTCCATCTCAAACAAACATGCCTCATCCCCCAAATATGCCCAAAGGGTTATCTCAGAATGCCATGCAACAACCAATGGGAGGCATGATACACCAACCCCAGCCTCCCATCAACAAACGAGAATCAGAAAGTCCTCAAGTCCAGGTGCCACATATCAGTACATCTCACATTCCACCTAGGGCTAAGGGCAGAAATCAGATGGTAATGCGCCAGCACCAACAACAAATGTACAACAACCAGCAACAGCAGCAGGCCATGTATAACCAGAACCAGACTGGGAACATGATGCCCCAGCCTCCCTGTCCTCCAATGTATCCACAGAATTCCCCAAATATGATGTACAGACAGAACCTAAATATGGAGCCACAGATGGCAAATAACCAGCCCACACCTAACCAGCTGATGCCACAGTCAGCTTACCCAACACAGATGGAGATGTCACCAGGATGTAACCAGGTTACCAGTTCTACGGACAGGAAAGAGGCTCCACCACCACCTCCTCCCCAACCCCAGCATCCCCCACCACCTATCATTGAAGAATTCATGGAAAACATTAACTCAATTTCTTCAGAGAATTTGTTGGATAACATGAGTTCAATTTCAGAGGTGTGCACGCCCACTGCTATGAGCCATCGGTCAGCATCGCAGTCTTCTGTGAGATACAATGCATCTTTGCTGAGTTCTAATAACATGGTGGTCAATGATATGAGTTCTGTATTAACCCAACTAGCAGAGGAAAATAAGTACTTAAATATGAGGCACTGATGATAGCTTCAATAAAAAGAAGGAAGATATAATCTGTTTTCTTGGAAAACGTGTTCTTAAAAGTGCTGTATTTGATTACAGTGATTTCAGCTGTGTAGTGAACGGAACACTTCTTAGTCTTTTTATATCAGGTAGAAGTGAGGATGTACATAAATGTGAATGCCAGATTCATTTTTTTTTTTATAATTCAAGGAAAATTTCTTGTAAGTGCCAAGAAGTTTGACTTCTGACTATGAATTTTGGTGTGCTAGGTTGAAAGAGAATAAAACCTAGATCAGAAACACTTGATGTTCTGCACAAAAGATGTCTTTCACATACATTTCATCTTGGGGAAAAGTGACAACAAGCTGGTTTCGGTGCTGATCAAGTCTTCCAGGACAAATTATTGGAGTGTATATTTCTCTGATTTTCTTAATGCCATTGACATTATGAAGATCAATTGTTTATGATTGATTATTTTTGAAAACACACATGTATGCCTTGTCTCTATTAAACTGGGCAGTCAGAACTGTCAACAGTCAATTACCTTATATACTGTGTTGTCATAAAATGTTAACAAAAATTTGTATCTCATTAAATCTTTTATTATCATGTATTAGTTGCATACATTTTATCACATATTTTTCATTGTACATTTTTTAGTGAAGATTTAGTGCTTTTTTCATCAGTTTAGTGCTTTTTTGAAACCATTTCATTGATGCTCCTCTAATATCACTTGTTTAATATTTAAAGATTTTATGTATCGGTCAAAAAGGACTTTACAAGAGATTGTTTGTCACAAAAAATGTGCCTTGTGGAATATATATATTTTGATTTCTTTCTTTTATATAAAACACATTTTTTGTGTTAGTACTCATAAATAAATGGCTCAAAAACAAAAATCAAATTTATAGTTTAAGAAATACTCAATGGTTTTTTTGGGAAAGAAAGAAGACAAATTGTGTTCCTAAAGAAATGTGTGTCTTCATATTTCTCTGAGCAGAAGAACCTCATTTATTGTAGTTTCATGACATTATGTGGGAGGGGGTGTAACTTTTCATTAGCATGATCAGCATAAGTAAATTTCATGAATTCATGGGTATTTTCTGCCTTAGCTTATTATGTGTTAGACACTTATTTGGTATAGACAGAATGTGCTCGTGAAATCCTGAAACTTTACGGAGACAAGTACAGAGATTTTTGACAGTATTTTGTAGACCTATAACTGTACATGGTACACATTTCTTTTCATCAGGTGTTGATCTCTTCAAAGGGCAGCATTTAATATGGATTCTTCATGTTAAAGAGGAAAAATTTTCAATAAAGAAATAAGATGATATCTGTGCAGATTTTTCAAACCTTGAAAGGTTCTTTAAATTTTATGTGTTATAGAAACCTGCAGTGTACTCTGCATTTTGATGAAGTAGTGATCAAAAGGGCTCAAACATCTGAAATAGTTATTGCATGTAGTAATACTTAAAAGTTACAAACAGGGTATCTGAGAAATTTAACACATTGAATGAACAGGGTAAATGCCAAACTATTAGCTCCCTTTAGCAGATGTGTATATATGATTCACAATCACTTCTGCTTTTGGATAAGGTTTAATTTTCTTAGTTTGAAATTGCAGATTGTCAGAGAGGCAGATTTGGTGCTTAACATGGTCAATACCTGTTTAGATTTGGATTTTTTTGTTGAGCGTCTGGACATGAAGGTAAACATACAATGATGTTAACTCGGAATTTTTTTCAAGTGTTTACTATTTAAGGTTGGGTTTTCATTAAAAAAATAATTAATTTAGTTGTTAAGTTATAGGTGGGGGATGTTCTCAATATCGGAATAACATTTATGCATGTTTTCATGTCCATTTAGTTAAGAGAATATTTTTTAAAGGTTAGTGTATATTTTAGAGGTTTTGAATCTCATTTTGCAACATTTGGTGCATCACTGTATTTCTACAGATTTTTATTAATGTTGAGATTATTATGAATGGTTGTTACATGATATTGATCGAAGTACCTTTTTTTAAGTGCTATTACATGAGGCGTAATAAATTTTTACTTATAAATGTACATACTTTATTTTCTTTTCATGCATTTTCAACATTTTCACTTTGACATTAGTGATTTTAGTTACATTCTTATACAATGTGTACAGAAGCATCACTTAAAATGCAAAATGTTTAATCTATGCAAGTTTTTTTTTTTTTTTAAAGAATCTTATCACTGCATTTTCTGTGATCTATGTTTTGAAGAGAAATTTTTAAAATATGAGCAAAATGTTAGTGAAATATATTGTGTTTGTTTATCAATTATATGTATGTTACATTTACATGTCATAATATGATTCAATAAAATTCTAATACAATTCAACAATGAGGCTTAAACTACTTACTACATAACCCATTTTGAGCTCTTCTGAGCTGAAGACTCGTAGAGCTAATGCTAGGGCCATTTGTGTGGTGTGCATAAACACTTTGGAATGTAGACTATATATCTCGATCCAGAACCCCTTGGCCTTGTCAAATTTGTCACAGTTTTCTTGGGTCAAGAGCTTTCATTTGTGCTAAAAGTAGGATGTGACCCTTGAGCAAAGGGAGATAATGGGTAAATTTAAAAAAAGGTCTTGCTTTTTTTTAAATCCAGTTTATCACCAAAATTGTATATAAGAATATACTGGTACAATTGAATTTTGTTATCTTGGACTTCAATATCTTGAATAACAGATATTTCAAAGTGAGGTGAAAAACTACGTGTAACTACCTTTTCTTCATTCATTTAAAATTTTAAACCTCAGTATCTCGAATCCTGAGATATGTCCAAGATTTTTTTGTTCCTATCCAGTTTGAGACGGTGAGATTTGACTATTGGAGATTAATAAATGTTCAAGGGGGTCCGCATCACCTTAGGGCAAAGGGTGTGGTTTCAAGGCCACTTCAAAATTTACCTTAAATGGTGTTTTGTTGACTTTGTTTTGCCAATTGAGGACTAGAATTATCGAGTCTTGTCAGTTGATAAATCTTAGGACCATGGAGTATGTTGACCAAAATGTAGGTCAAAGTCTTTTTTAAATTTTGCAGCTTTTTATGTTCAAAATGTTTAGGATACATATTTTGGACACTGTTGAGTCTAGGAAAATTAAACCTTGTCAGTTGATGCATCTTGGGGCTTTGGGGTGTATTTACATTCCAAAAATAGGTCACCTACTTTCTGAATTTTATGGCTTTTCATTTTCAAATAGCTACATATTTCTGTGGCTAGAGGCAAAACCTGTCACTTGAGGCCTTGAAGTAATTGAAGTAGAGGTCACAATGACCTACTCTGAATTTTATGGCTTATCATTTTCAAAGTTATCTATATATATTTTGAACACTGTGACCTGTAGGGTCATGATGTATCTTTGTTGATGATACTCATGCATCTTTCTTTGTTGTGTTAATTGGGATCAAAGATGCATTAATTCTAAAGTAGGTCACAGTGACCTACCTATTGAATCTTATTATAAGTTATTGCCTGATCTTTTTCAGCTTGGAAATATTTTTTTTTCAAAACGTTTAAGCTAAATATCTTGGATATTAAAATGCTTAGAGTCAACAAACTTTGTCAGTTGATGCATTCTATGATATTGTAATGGATTGACCATAGATTCTTTTTAATATATAGAATATTTATCACACTGTAATAATGATTTTATGAGTTTGTACACGCCAGACGTCGTAACTTTCTCATTTCACATGTTGAATAGTATCATTTAGTAAATCAAAAAAAAAAAAAAAAAACATAAAAAAAAATGGATTGTCCGGGATTTGAACCTGGGCCTCTCGCTTGCTAAGCAAGCATCATACCCCTAGACCACGGAGGCACTTGATTTATTTCAAAAGGGTAGTGTCAAAAGTCAGTAATGATAATGTTGTAAGAGTTATGTAACAAGAAGTTGATCTACTCATTTCCATAATATGACTTCACTTATATTGAGTTAAGTCTGATTAAATGCAAACATTAGGTCACATGTTTACATTCACGTTCGATATTGTCAAAATTTTACACAATAAATATTGTCTAACTTAGCCTTTACAAAACAGTTCTAATAGATGTAATTAGAATATAAAGTCCGCCGACAACCTGTATTATACGTAATAACTCTCGACATGCCCCTGTGCTAAAAATAATGCCAAGCGACTTTTAAGATACAGTAAATAAAAAAAAAACGGGGCGGGACGCTTTGAGAGGGGCGAGAGATGCCATATTGAATATAAACATTATATGTGACTTAATGTTTGCATTTAATTTGTTGTATAATCAAGTGCCTTCGTGGTCTAGTGGCATGTTGCTCGCTTAGCAAGCGAGAGGCCCGGTTTCAAACTCGGACGATTCTCTCTTTTTTTTTTAAATGTTTTTTTTTTTGATTTACTAAATGATACTCTATTGAACATGTGAAATGAAAAAGTTATGATGTCTGGCGTGTACAAACTCATAAAATCGTTATTACAGTGTGATAAATATTCTGTATATAGTATATTAAAAAGAATCTTCTACACACATATTCAAGAATAAGCAATGAAATCTTTATATCCACATTGGCTTTTTATTAATTTGCTACAATATACATGTATACATTTAATAATTCTACAAATACAGGGGGCAGTGTGACCCCCCCCCCGAACTGCGCATGCTTTTCTTTTTTCCATCATCTTCGCTAGCGGAGATGTTTTTCCATAAGCGGGGACACAAAGAACTACGCACGCTAACTCTTGATTGCCGCCTACATTTCACATCCATTTAATTTAATACTTATGGCAACTTGGCCATAAATCTTTGTTGAATGCAAAGAAGAGTTCAATGGTAATAAATCAGTAATTTTAATACCAGTGTTAAGTAGTTAATTACTCTTAATTTCAGCTCTTTTTATAAGGGGGGTAGACGATGTTTTCCATTGAAATCAGACTTGAAAGCATCAGCATATTTCAAAATATTCTTGGACATGGATAAATGTTCTTTAAATCTTTTCTTATGTTTTACGCATATAAAATTAAACATATGTAATTGATAAAATACAACGTTTAAGCTGTAAACACCTTCGAAATTGGTGAAAAAATGAGAATTTTTGTCGTTTTTCGTCTGTAAACTTATGCCCCCTCCCCCTTTACACACAAAAAGCTTTTGTAAGAATTTGTGAAATAACAATCCATATTACCTGTAAAAAGGAATTTTTTGTTTCACGGGGGGGGGGGGGAGATGTTTTAAAAATATTTTCCGTTTTCCGTTGATTTCTATAGTGAAAAACACAAGTTTTACCAAAATTATAGAGTTATCTCTGTTTTCCCAAATAAGTAATGTTTTATGAAAATTCTTATAAATATCTATATAGATATGAAAAATCGTTTAAATATGTTAACTTTTGAAAATTGACTTGGAGGTAGGCGGGAGAACAATACTATCGTTCGCAGTTCTTCTCTTAATTAGCTTGTTGAGATATCGCCCGGAAACGAAAGTGTTACACACAGACGGAATTTGTGAATTTACGACCTTGACCTTTGACCTTTTGAACTCAAAATTAATAGGGTTCTTCTTTAGGCCATAGGGAGTTGCTATGCAAAATTTCATTGCGAAAGCTCAAAGGGTTCTCGAGATATCGCGCGGAAACGAAAGTGTTACAGACAGACAGAAATACAGACGGACGGACGGACAGACGGACGGATGGATGGACTGAATGATAGTATTCAACAAGTGAAATGAAAAAGTTATGACGTCTGGTGTGTACAAACTCATAAAATCATTGTTACAGTGTGATTAATATTCTATATAAAAAGAATCTTCTATACACATTTTAAAGAATAAGCAATCAAATCTTTATATCCATATTGACATTTTTGTATTTGCTTCAATATACATGTATACATTTACTAATTCTGCAAATCGGGGGGGGGGGGGAGGGGTCCGACACCCCCCCCCCCCGAACTGCGCATACTCTTCTTTTTTCCCTAAGCAGGGGACACAAATTCTCTGAATTAGCTTGTTATATTTTAGATTATACCTAAAACTTCTAAATCTCATCATTCAAAACGTTTTTAGATTTTTTCGAAATTAAGAATTCTTATTCAAACACTCAATTATTAGATAACCAAAATACGTTTTACTTTAATTTCAAAAATTCTAAAAAGATATTATTTGTAATATATGAATTATGATTAATCGTGGTCCTAGCTGCTGTTCTTGAGAAGATTTTAAACGATTTATTCATTCATTCTTTCTTTATTTCCTCCTATTGGAGATTCATTAATTATACAAAATACACATTCAACGAAAGTTACTTCACATAGGTGCTATTATGTACATTAGTGCAAAAGTTAACAAAAGGATGAACTTAATCTGGAAAATATTCGCATGTAAGTTTGCAAAGGAGTTAGAGCACAGAGGCTACAACTGTCCGGTCCATTCAAGGGAACACGGTTGTCTTTCTGTAGTACGCCGTTGCCACATCTCTTATAAAACGAAAATTAAGAAGATGGGGTTCTGACGTGTCATAGTCCGAGAGTGAGGTAGTTAGACATCTACCACCGAGAAGAAACAAGTATAATTCACTTTCTGACAGTCCTGATAGCTCGGCGCCTAGTGAGATGTCGTAGTCCTCAATCACAGTTTCCCACCAGACATCGCGATACAGAGATGTTTCCGGGCGGACTAATGTGCTCGAACACGTTCGTGAAAGATTTTGCACAGATGCGGCACGATTCCGGCGGTGTATCTAGGAGGGTCCATAGTTTTACAATAAATTTACACAGTATAATTTCATGAATATTATTGGGGATGACCCACAGATGCTTAGGTGGTTTGCCTGCACAGAGGATGTTAAATTGAGCAAAGTCAGGATCGGCAAGCATTCGGTTGCGCCTAGAGGCAGGGTGAAACGAGATGACGGAGGATTTCACTGATGTCTTCCACTGAGACTTGTTGGGAAAGAATCCACTTTCGAGATAATCAGTTAACACGTGGTATAAATTGTATTTTAACAGTATGGGAATGATGTCTTGAATAAACCCATAATGCTTAGTACTGACATTGAACAAGTAGGAGAAAAGACGGATGATGAATATACGCTTAGTAAGGTAAGTTGTGTTGAGTTCACAGAGACGGTCAAAGAATTGCAGTTTCTTAATGTCGATCTCTGCTGTAATTGGTAGGAGACCTAGAAGGCTTTCCCACATGTCTGATCTGGTATGATGGGGCAGTCCCATAACATGTTTAACGACAAAATATTGGAATGCGTTGAGTGATCTAATGTCCTTTGTCCGAAGATCGCGCCATAATTCGCTTCCATAAAGAACTGATGGTAAGACAACTTTTTTTAATACACTTTGGCCACTGTTATGGGGTTTAGCTGTTCGGACGTTTTAAGAGCGAAATATGCTTGTCGTCCTTTCCTGCAAGCATTAGATGTTCTTTCGCCAGGGTTAAAATTGGAGCTTAAGCAGTTAAGAGAATTCCAAGATGATTGCTTGAGTTGGAAAATTCAATACGTTCTTTACCGAGACGCCAGTCTATGCGATATCGGTAATTCTTCCACCCTCTTCTTTTTTCTTTAAGCGAGGGCACAAATTTTCTGAATTAGCTTGTTTTGATTTTTGTTTTTTTTTTAAAATCATGGTTCGAGGGGGAGGGTGTGGCCACAGTAGAAGATAACGTTTTTGCGTGTAAAAATATTATTATTGATTGAAACCGTTCTCTAGACATTGATCCTTTATTTTTTAATTTCTAAAAATCTAAAACGTTTTGAAAGATGAGATTTAGAAGTTTTGTCCCCAGCTTTTCTGGTCCACATTATCCCCCATATAACTATATATTAATCTTTTTTACGATTGTTTCACCGTTTTTAAATTTTTTTTATCCATACATTAAATTATCAATAAATATTTGAAATATTATTTGTGGGGCCAGAAAATTGTAGAAAAAGCTCGGGATTGTACATGTATAACAGGAGGAGGGTTCCTGCATGTGGTAAATATTACGGGAATTAAATGCCCGGGATGGTTTTAAATTATAGAAAAATCAAGAGCACTTAACTCCGATCTGCCGCATCGAATCATTGTGGAGGGTAAGAAAAAAAAGATTGCAAAGTTTGCGAAGAAAAACTGTTTAATCGCAAGTATGTTCGATGTGTAGAAAAGTGTCACAGTGTTTTTAATTTGTTAAATTATGTACAACGATTAGAGAAATAAATATGCTGCAAATATTCCCGAAGTAATTAGCGGCGTTTTAGAGAAAATTCGAACTAATTGTGATGGCATTTATCATGCTTTTTCGACTGAGCTTGTTTCTTACTCTTTTCTATGTTTATAAATATCGCTTTCCCCATCCATAACATAGAATTTTAAGTTTTTAATATGTAGACAAGCTCAACTGTGACACAAAATAAAATTGGGCATTTCATGTTTTTTTTTTCCAAAGAAAAAGGACACTCAGTACACACACTCCAGAAAGGAAAGTAAAATCTTAAAGTAAATGTACAGAACTGGGGAAATTCGCAGTATTGTAGAGAAACCAGATTTTGTTGCAAGAAAATAGTATCAGCCCCCTTTATCAGGTTGGGCACACCCCACCAAATGGTCATTTATCCCCCGTTTGGTGGACAATCTCCCATATCGGAGACGAATTTTACTGATCAAATGGTGGACTTTTTTATTCTATTCCAAATTTTATTAAAATAAGGCAAAAGCGCATTTGCATAGGCATTGGTGAATTTTAGTGAACATATTCCTCGCACAATTAACATAGTTCGGTTGATTTTCCATGTACAATTTCTCCATACCTTCCTAAAAACGATACCCATAGTTGTCCATAACAGCCGAACTTCTTGATCATTCGATCAAAAAAAATTTGATTGTGTCTAGTAGGATAAAAATTCTATTTTATCCAGTGGTTATCTCTTGATAAGTTAAGTTTCAATCGCTCTTTGGATCTTCGTCAATATTTATTTCCATAAAATCCCGTTAAACACGAGCTCCTCATTACTTAACTGGTATGGTGGGCACTTATTGCTATAAAGTTAAATTTTTCTAGACTTGAACGTTATATCTGTTGTTATTTTTCTTTTAGGATGAAGTTGCATATTCCATGCGACCTTTTGTGGTTTAATATGTATATTACTGATGAATTAAATATATTTGATAAATAATTTTCAATAAAAGATTTACAAAGTGACTTTTGCAATTATTCTTGTTTTCGTTCCAAGTACATCGTTTTAAAACAATAATTATATCATAATCTAACTTCATTTACTTTTTTGATAGAGAACAAAGCTATTGCGTACAAAATAAAACGAAATAAAGGCGAAAACTTATTTTTCTTTTGATTTCCTAATTGAAAATTGACACAAATGTGCCTCCGTAGTAAAATCCGACTTTTGACCAGGTTAAAAAAAAGATCATCGTTTTTATTGGTTTGCTTTATTTGATTGGTTGCCCGGATAATCGAAATAGAAAGTAAAAAACATGATTGACAGGTGCAGCATCATTGGAGAAGGAGGGAATTTTCTGTTTAAGTAAAAACGGAGAAACGTTGCTCTTGTTTACGTACGTGACGTTTTTTGTCAAATTTTTGAACGACTCTGCGCAAAAAATTGCACGTTGAATTTCCGATTTTTTTCACTCAGAACACCGATAAATTTCTATATTTTATTCCACATGGTTTAAAATTATGCGCCATTCCACGCCATTCTATGGAATTGAACACAACCATTTTTCTCTCCCAAATGCTCAGTAAAATTCGTCTCCGATATGGGAGATTGTCCACCAAACGGGGGATAAATGACCATTTGGTGGGGTGTGCCCAACCTGTTTGTGTGATCAGAAGGTGTAGTTAAGTTATATTTATAAATGAGCCAGGTTAAAAACACACACACAACAAAATACCCCCCCCCCCCCAAAAAAAAAAGAGCTGTATTAGCAACTTTTTCTATAACTTAAGCATTTTTTATTGGGGAGAAGGGATTAAGGAAGGGATGGACAGTAGGATGGGGTTTTTACATGTGCTCATAGCCTAGCTCATACATATATGCTCTGAAGATTTTTAACTTATGGGTCAATAAATCATAGATCTATTTTAAAGACTGACACTATAAAAGTAATTCCTGAGGTTTATTTTTATACAATCACATAGCTTTATTGTTGCAGGATGACCACATCAGCTGGTTATAAACCACGGTGCTTCCTGGACATCGAGATCGATGGAAAGTCAGGTAAATTAAAACCAAATTATTTACAATAATAAATTATTTGTATAAACAAACATATTTGCTCTGAATACCTTTTAATATAAGCTGCAGCTTGTTATTCTAGAAGCTAGTGTTCCGAAGCAATTCTTAAAAGTTTTGTTTCTTTATTATTACTTCTATACATTGAGATTTTTCTGCTTTCTTGTAGAAGGAAGAATTGTGTTCGAGTTATTTGCTGATGTTTGTCCCAAAACCTGTGAAAATTTCCGTTCACTATGCACAGGTGAGAAAAATGTTACTGTTTATTGGCATATAATTTTCGAGACATTGAGTAAAATATATATGTATTTAAGCAATAAATAATGGATTTCCCTGTGATATTTGTTTTCAGGAGAGAAAGGAGTTGGACAGAAGTCGGAGGTACCCCTCCACTACAAGGGAGCCCCAGTTCACCGTGTGGTTAAGGACTTTATGATACAATCAGGCGATTTCACCAAAGGTAATCTTAGTAATATTTTGAAAGAAATTCTTCTTACTGAATAATATCCTTGGATATATCAGGGTTGTGGTTAACTTTTGAAACCTCAGGAGCCATGTGGGCTCCTAACTTTTCAAATTTTACGGGCCCACAGTGTGATCCACGGGCCCACATTATATGTAAATTAAAAATAACAACAACAAAAATCCTGATTTTTTAAACCGATTATTTTTTAAATTCCTGGTATCAATATGTTCGCTGTTTTTGAATTTTCGTCAGGTTTTCTCTTTTCTAAAAACTGAGATCCATTATTATGTTTGTTACATTTTGTAGTGTTTAACCATACAACTAAAGCGTCTGTGGTTTAACAAGGGGGCATATTAAATAATAAATTGCATACAACCTGTGATGAAGTTTGATTCCAAATTTTTATTGTGTGCATTTGACACGATAATTCAAATTCATTCTATGACTACTGTCACTAGTCATGATGGAGTGTCTGGCAACCATGGCCAATTGTTACATTTCTATAAGAACAATCTCAAATGTTTGCTCTTGTATCATCAAATTTAACAAAGATCACAAATTTAACCGCTTCAATAAATTGCATGTTTGATCAGTCATATGCATGTTTGACTAATATGCTTGCATGTGACACAAATAATATAGGTTAGTAGATAGTTTTCTTAAAACTGAACATACATACAAATCTAAAATGTGATTATGTTCCGGAAAAAATCGTTCGCCATGTGGGCGACCAGATTTTTTATATCTAATTGCCCACAGCAAATTTTACTCGCATTTGCAAGTGGGTGAGTCCACAACCCTGTATATGGTTTTGTTAGAAACTGAAATGATATATAATGATGGAACTATACAATAGAAAGTAAAAGTTTTTTAATTGCTATTGTTTTCTCCAATACCCAGCGCTTTACACTAGGATGAACTTGTTTTAGAGAGATTTCATTTCTATGATTCAATGTCTAGATGGAGTGATCAATTCAAGATTATAGATAATTGAATAGAGAGATTGTTCACAAATTTTATAATTCTGGTTCCTAATTAGTGACTGCAGATTTGATTTACTAGTGGCTAGTGAAAATTGATGATAAAATCTTATATTTCTGTTCATGTATTATATATCTGAGAGTCATTATATACATGTACATTACAGGTGATGGTACTGGGGGAGAGTCTATATATGGAGGGATGTTTCCAGGTAAGTTAACATGGTTTTCATATAGAAAAGTTCAAGTATATGTGTATGATTATATCCTGATCAAACGAAGGAATTAAATGTTGGTGGGGATGGGAGTGTATAAGAAATATGCAGGTATCACCAAATCCATCTGTATGCATCATGTTCTGTCCAGATGATAACTTTGTAAAGGATCAGTAGAAGCGCAATTAAAAATTGTGTCACATGGATTTTTCTCATTAATTAATTGAATTTCATTCTGAAAGTTGCTTTAAAAACATAGTTTTGTCATTAAAAGTCCTTAATTTGCTATAATTTTACAACTGTAGTGTTAAATTGTGCTATCATCCTCAGCAATAACATAATTTCTTTATCTTGACCTCTTTAACATAAGGTTTCTATTCAGACATCTTGAAATGAAACAAATCTTTTCCAATTTTCTTTTTGAATTGTCCAATTTGTGTTTTTTTAAGATGAGAATTTTGTGTTGAAACATGACAAAGAATTTCTTCTGTCCATGGCAAATCGTGGAAAAGACACAAATGGCTCCCAGTTTTTCATGTAAGTATTTGTACTATAAATTGTTTTTAAAAAGTTTTCATGAAATTGTAAGTTATGCTTTTCTGCATCTTTATTCTTTCTAAAAGACACAACGACAATCTGTAATAATGTATAAATAAACTGTAAATATTCATTAAGCAGTGTACCTATAAAGCTTCTGTGATAGTTTAAAAAACATGCATATGTCCAACAATTTAGTCAGTTAACTGGTCTAATCAGTTGCTATTTTCTCTTTCATGGGTTTTGACAATTGGCCTTTCTTCATCAGAACAACAAAACCTGCACCACATCTTGATAAGTAAGTTTGTCTACCTTTTTAAAGGAAATTTTAACATTATCCACTTTTACTGTGATTCATTTTTGTTATTTCAGAAAACTGAGAAATACTTTAAGACTGTGAATAATTGACGAAATATAAAACCATCATCCTTTCGTTTGCCAGAGATTGACAATTTAATTGATATATATGATTTTAGCAAGCACACAGTTTTTGGACATGTAATCTTTGGTCAAGAAGTGGTCAAGAAGATTGAGAATTTAGAGACAGATGAAAAAAGTCGCCCAAAGGTTGATGTGAAAATTGCCAACTGTGGAGAATTAGTTCTTCAAGTAAAACCCAAAGGTAGATATTGGAGATTTATTTAGCCAAAGGCTTGATTACAGAAATTTTCAGAATGTTCCTATATACTGAAATTTTTCATCTTGATCTTTTTGAGTATTAAGTCCAACAATTAAAATAGAATATTCTCCTAATTTATATATAAAGTAAATGATTTACATTTGCATTGTACAAATATAGTGGCGTATATTCCATATAGGCAAAAAGGCTGTAGCCTACATATCATTTTCTCAGAGATAAAAATTTGGTTGAATAAAGGGGCAGGAAGTTGATAATAAATCATACCTATTAATTTTATTTTGTTGCAAATGCCCAAAAAACAGTCTTAGCAATCCACACTTTTATACCTATCCAATTATGTTTACAGTTTTGCTTTATATTTAAGGACAAAACTATTCCCATAGCTGGAATTTTTTAAGCCAAAGTTCAAGTGTTATTAATATCAAGTCTGTATCAGAAAATTTCATTGAAAGCAATAAGTGCAGGAAATGAAATTGATAACTTGAAATATATTTGGTTAGTAGGAAATTAAACGTATTGTTCGAATTTTGATTAATAAGTAAGGAGGTTTCCATATTTTCTAAGCAGAGTACCGTATTTGGCTGAATATAATACGCACTTTTTTCCGAAAATAATTTTCTGTGAGAAAGGGGTGCGTATTTTACACCACAATGGGATTTTGATAGGTTTTTCTTTCATATGAAACACGGCTTTCATACGCACATACCGTAGTATTACCTAGAGACTTATGCAATTTCTTGCTGTTTATCGCCGTATTTAAAACTTCGGAAAGTTATTGTTGGAATGTAGGCTTTGTTAAAAATGTTATATTTATAACCTTTTGATAGTTAAATTAAATTTAAAAGCAAGCTAAAATTAATTTGAGCTGCATGTTCATCGTCTCCGTGCAGGCCGCCATTAACGATGTTATTTATAGATGTTCACACATTCCTTTGCCACGTGCTTCCGTAATCATAGTACACATGTACCTAATCAGTCAGACACTCGGTCACTCAAAAAAGTAATAAGTCAATTTTTAATGAAATACAATTAATTAAAATTTAATTTTAGGTTTTGAATAACTCAGTGAAAATTCATTTCAACATAAACACCCCTCTATACGTCCCAATGAATGGAAGCCAATGTTGTGAACACGTGCGCTTGTCACTTGATTACCCCTCAACACCCCTCCAGGCAATTAAATTGTTTACCGACTCCAAAGGATTGTTTTTACAGTTAGAGCACTGATTATTTACTGCCCCTATTAATGGCTTTGATTAATTTCTTTGTTAAAAATCAGGGGTTGGTTTATGATCTTTCGTAGGTATAAGCGTGTGTTGATTACGACACATTAAACAGTTAATGCTTGTTAAATGTAATTTTACTTTATCTTATATCGACCTCGTGTTAAAATGATTGAGAGTTAAAAAAGGAAATATGAAGTATGTTGAAACATATTATCATTTACTCGTGCTCTGTAGAAAATAAGATATCCACGAAGATTACCTCGATGTATGAAGACATATATCCCATTTTTGTACATCATTTTTCACAGCTTTGGAGGTGTGTTGTTAACTACACTTTACACGCTTGTTAAATTTTAATTTTAATTTTATAACATCAGCTATGTATTTAATTAATTAATTTCAAGGTCAAAAGAGGAAAATCGTAGTCTACGAATACTTTGATGTTGCAATATCGCTTGCCCTGTTAAATTTACATAATTTTCAACATGATTACCTTAAACTAAAAATAAATACGTGCTTTGTTGAAATAAAATTATTTCCACAAAGAATAGTTAGAATACGGCGACGTATAATTTCAATATCACCGCATGCTAAAAAAAAAAAAAATTATAAACTCTGTTAATACTTTAATGCAACATTATATCGTGCTTTGTTAAAATAAATAATTTCCTGCAGATTGCCGTGATATGGAAAGTCAAGATTAAGAAATAAAAAGGCATTTGAATAAAATATCGTGTTCTGTAAATTTTCGGCACTTTATCTCCGCGCCGATTTTCATAGCAAATTACTGCGATTTTCAAAAGTTCAGAACACCGCTTGGTAAAATTTTCTGCTGCGTATAATACAACCGAACTGCGTTTTTTCCCCCCGTTTCATGCTCAAAAAGGGGGGTGCGTATTTTACACCAATGCGTATTATATTCGGCCAAATGCGGTAAAAGGATAAGTTAAGAGTTCTCAGTTTTGTTAAGTGGTTTTCATATCACGATATAAACTGAAAACATGTCTACAATATTATTTTTACTGGTTAAATTAAAATTGTAGATGTCTAGGTTTGCAAAAATGCTCCCTTTGACCCCCCCCCCCCTCCAATACCTATCGAGAGTTGCCTACCCACACTTTGCACCTCAGGTTAAATCTGTGACTTCACACTAGCCTACACATTAGCAGAAAGGAATATGCGCCACTGAAATATGCAAAGTCAGCACATTGCATCATTTATTTATTCCAAATAAATGTAAATCTATTTTTTCATTCCATAATCAGATTGAACGTGAGTATTAATGGTGTATGATTATGGCATCAAAGTTACCTTTCACTGTTATCTTTTCCTTTGATGACAATAGCTAAAAAGAGAAAGAAACACTCGGAGTCAGAAGCCAAGAGTTCTGATGAGTCAGATGAGTCATCTTCAGAAACAGAGAAAACCAAAAAGAAGAAGAAGAAACACAAAAAAGAATCCAAAAAGAAGAAGCACAAGAAGAGAAAAAAAGAGGAAGAAAGGTACACAAAGAATTTGATCAGATTTTAAGTTATTTTAATGTACAGTAAATCATATTAAGGCCCTGTATCATGAAAATAATTTTATATTATAATCATGTAGCATCAACCAATTTAAGAAAAAATACATCCATGTTCTTGTTTAGATCTTCAAAACTCAAAATATGATCACCTTCATTGGTGGAGGTTCAAGTAATGCTTAAAAAGATTTTAAAATTGCACCATAATAAATTTAGAAATTGCATGCTGTTTAGATATTTTAATTTTTCTGCAAATGAAATGTCACCATTGATTTAAAAAAAAGTGGGTCTGGGGCTTGCTATTAAAATTTCTGTGGAATTCATTTGAAAAGAGCAAGGGCCACTTAGGGCCTTTTTTGGCCCTGTAAATTTCTGAAAAATCAAAATTGCATAGTTTTAGTCGACAAGGCAATAAATATTACTTGAATACTTGGTGACTGAATTCCTACTAAAAATGACGTAATTTTCTTGCTAGTCAATGCATTATGACGTCATGAATTGCGTCATTATTCACATATCCTGTATATTTCTTCAGAAATGGCCAAAATATGAGGGCCGTTCAAAAATTAAGCGGACTCTGCTATTATTTACTCTTATAGACGTCATATAGAATTGAAATTTCACAGGAACATATTTCTTCAAAATTCCAATAAATTCTTGGTAAAATTTTTTGACTTTATTTAATATCTGATAAAATTATTGCCGTTGTGATACAGCTGATGATGATATACGGAGCACGGCAAAAATGTTGAAAACCAAACATGCGGTATCCAAAATTTTATTCATTTTTTCCCCATATTTCACGATATTATTCAACAATTTTCTGTAAAATTTCTTTTTATTGTTTTATTATTAAGTATTTAGATTTCTGGCATAATATTTGAAGTACTAATAGAAATATTGTAATTTTTCTCCGATGTGACCCCTATGAAATCAACTGCAAAAAATGACGTCTCGTGATTTGACGGAGCAGCGCACTTTTATCAAATAGTGAATCATGCAGGGAAAACGCAAATAGAGACCCAAAATAATCCTAATGAAACATGTAGTAAACCAGAGGAATATCCGACACATCTCTACAAAATGTAATAAAGAATTTTAGACTGTTAGACCTCAGTCAAAAGGCAATCCGGGAGGGATGGAAGAAGTTCATCGACAAAACACTGATCTGGGCTGTTAAGAATGTGATTGAGATCGACTGACGTCAAACTTTACTTCAGAAATATCTGCAGTTTTTTGGGTTTAACACAAACTAAAACACACAATAATAGTTTTATAGTTTTTAAGAGTTTTATGGATGTTTATTCTGAGTGGATAAGGTAATCCAAACTATACAGTATCAAATACTAAGGGAAAATATTGAGAAAATGAAAACTCCCATTTTTTTAAATGCCCTTGACGTTGAAAGTTTACTGCGCCGTGACTTCATGATATGTCCTGTTAAATCACTTGAAATTGGTACCAATTTACAATATTTTGATATGAAATTTTGATGATCATATCTGAAAAGATTCTTTTATATTATATATGACTTTTTGCTTGATTATGTCGTCAAATATATTTTCTGTGCAACAAGTCCGTGTAATTTTTGAACGGCCCTCGTATGATGATATTTTTCAATATTTCATATACAGCACAACCTTCGATCCAAAATGTGCAAATATATAATGAAAGAACTGCTCACTAAGAATATAAAACATACTTTAATTTTTGGATCGAGGGGTGTGCTCATACTGTAATTCTTTGTTGAAGGTTCTCAAATTCACCTGTTTTCTGCAAAATTCAAGAACATTGCAATTTCACACAACATGTTTTCCAGTACCTGGACTCTTTAGAGGAAACTTTGATATACAAACTGAAAGAGCCAAGTCTCTACTTTATATTGATGTTGATAAAGTGACATATTGTGTTAGTGGATAAATTGGTTTATCTACAGGGCCATTTTATGCACAAAGTGAACCTACCTCTTTAGATGACATTGTACATGTAGCACATGTTTCAAACTATAAAGGGATAATGGATGTTTTATACAAGTTCATACCATATTATTTTAAAAAGTGGACTCAAATATTTGGATTTGAGACCATGTCAACATTGACATTTGGAAAGTGTAAGAGTTTAAATTTCTGACATAAAAATATGGAATATATTAGGTCTGTGTAATCCATCCAGAGTTACATACTTTATCTGTTGTAACAAGGCTAGGTCATACCACCATATGATTGAGACATTTCTGTACATGATCAGAAATGAAAAACAGTCAAACATTGTTATCTCAAACATAATGGAACCAAGAATAAACTTCAAGATATATGAGAAATTGAGATGACAAGGTTAAAAAACAGAGAGAAAAAGTGGTTTGGATTCCAAATCACCTTGACATATCCCTGGTATTCCAGATATTGGTGTTCGAGATAACGAAGTTCAAATGTATATTACTTGTGGATTTTCTCAGAGTATTAACATATCAAGATTGTATTATTGATTGTCTTACTTAGTGCTAAGAATGAGCAGAAAGAAGAGGAAATCACCACAGTGTTTGCTCAGATTCGTCCGGATGAAATTCCTGATGTTCCTCAACAGAAATTCTTAAGCAGGTTCAACAGAGAGGAGGAAATGGAAAAGTATTTCATTTATCTACCATTGCTACTAAAAAAAATAGAAAACTTCTTAACATTCAAATAATAAATTCAAATTCAAAGATAAATTCAATTGAATTTGATGAAAGAAAATTCATAGACCACTTAAAGAAGTGATAAATCTGATTTTATGAAATTTAAAGGACTTTGATTCAAAGTATGAAATGCCTTATGCTTAATTTTTGCATAGAAATACATACTGTTTAATGTGGTATTTTCTATGTGATGAAGGTTATAATTTATGTTCATTGAACAGAGAGAAGTCCCCTCCAGGCTATGGCAACCGTCGGAGAATTGATAGGATCCCCTATGGAAACAAGCCCAAATTTACAGCCAGTGGGAGAAAGATAAAAGGCCGTGGCACATTGGTTAGTCTTTAGATCAGAAAAAATATGTTAACCCGTCAGCCTTAAGAGTACTTTTGGAAAAACAAAATGACTTTTCAGAGTATTCATATGTATGAAATAAATCTAGGGTCTATCAAGTACAAGTTTTGAGACAAGTTTTGGGATTTTTTTCGGAATTTGGTGTTACTGATTTTAACATATTTATGCACATAAGTAAAGCGTGTGATATTGTTGATAATTACAGAGATACAGGAGTAGGAGTAGAAGTGAAACACCGCCACACTGGAGGCAAGCAGTGGAAACACGACTGAGATCTACCCAACAACAGCAGCAGCAGCCCTACCCAGGGGAGGATCAAGGTCGAGAAGAGAGGTGGACGAGGGGCGAGAGAATGAATGATCGGAGGGACAGACAGCCAATGAGGGAGAGGCACATACAGGAAAACAATCAAGAATCAAGGAGGAGGAGGTTAAACATTTAATCTTTAGTTAAAGGACTTGTTTTTAATTGTGATTCTGAGTTAAGAAATTGGGAGGCATCAAGAATCAAGGAGGAGGAGGTTAAACATTTAAGCTTTAGTTAAAGGACTTGTTTTTAATTGTGATTCTGAGTTAAGAAATTGGGAGGCATATTGTCTTGGAACTTCACAAGACATGTTGTCTTGAGATGTTATATGTGTTAAAAACTATATGTAGTTCAAGATCATGTATAAAGGTTAGATAGAAAATTGTAATGTTGGGAATGTGCCAAGTGCATCAACTGTGTTTCAAGAATTTTATCCGTCAATCTCTTCGTTTTATGTTCCTGATATTCAAAATTGATAGTCACATGAAAACAAACATGAAATAGGTATGCATATGATATAAAGAAGTAATTCTTATTTTATAGAAATAAATAAGGAAATTCCATAAAATTACATTATAACAAAGTACCAATATATGATAGGGAAGACAAGCCAGAGAGAATGGAAGATGACAAGAAGTTGAGGCAGGACAGATCTGACAAGGTGTCAAGGAGGGATAGACAGGAATCGATGAGAGAGGACAGATCTCCTGATAGACATAGAGACAGAGAGACTGACAGAGGGACAAATAGAAGGCAAGACAGGGAGTTTGAAAGAGAGAAAGACAGAGGAACAAATAGAAGGCCAGACAGGGAGGCTGATAGAGAGAAAGACAGAGGAACAAATAGAAGGCCAGACAGGGAGAGTAATAAGAGGAAAGACAGTATGGAGGAAAGGAGAAAGAAAGAGAGAAGCCCTTCCTCAGAGGGTGAAGTTTCTGATGATTCCTCACCTCCCAGACAGAGGGAGAGGGATAAGTCTGGTATCAGGAATAGAAACAGGAACAGGTATGGGATTTGTTTTTATGTTAACATTGCTGTCTTCTTTTATTATGTCTCCTAAGTGACCTAGATAATGTGTCACCCAAATGACCGATATGTCACCTGAGTGACCTAGATGATATGTCACCTGAGTGACCTAGATGATGTGTCACCTGAGTGACCTAGATGATATGTCACCTGAGTGACCTAGATGATATGTCACCTGAGTGACCTAGATGATGTGTCGACTGAGTGACCTAGAAGATATGTCATCTGAGTGACCTAGATGATGTGTCGACTGAGTGACCTAGATGATGTGTCACCTGAGTGATCTAGATGATATGTCACCTGAGTGACCTAGATGATGTTTCACCTGAGTGACCTAGATGATGTGTCACCTGAGTGACCTAGATGATGTGTCACCTGAATGACCTAGATAATATGTCACCCGAATGACCTTGATGATGTGTCACTGAGTGACCTACAGTGTCGTTGATGACCTATTGCTATTCCTTCCTGTTTACTGTCTTTTGACACCTGTGTCATTTGGTTGTACACTATATAAGATACTTCAGCTTCTCTGAACCGGCTTTACCAATATACATGTATTAAATTTAGGGATGACAACAATTAACTAGTTAACCTATAAATCTGATTGTTTTGGTCCCTTTCGGGCCCTGAGAGGCTAGGCCAATCCTATCAAAATTTATGCAATCTTACGTTATTTCTTTATGGATGAACACTTAGCAGTAGACTGGTATGTATGATTATGATGAACAATGTGCCCAGTGATAAAATGATGACCTCTGGACTCAGGGTTACTAAAATGCATTTCATCTTCTTCTTATTCCTGGACATCTTATAGGCAAACTTGGGAAATATTATATTATATAACAAACTCCTCCACTAACTTATAATATTTTTCTTCTTTTTGATGTGGACTTTTTCATTTGATCCTCAGACATTTGAACAAGGTCTGGAATAATGAAAGCATGACATTTTTTTCCTCAGAATAATAATTTTTTGCTTGTATTACATGTCAAATTGAATTGGATGTTGTAGATCTCCAGATGATTATAGAGAGAGGAGGCGGAACTCGGAGCGAGACGGCAGACGACTAGAGGTCAGGCCAGGTCCCCAGAGGTCATCCACTCAAGACAGACGAAGGAGATCAAGGTAAAAATAATACACTTATAAATGACAAGACAGACGAAGGAGATCAAGGTAAAAATAATACACTTATATTTTAAAAGCAGTATACAGGTGACTCTAGATACTTTGAAGTCCATGGGATGACAGAAAAACATTGAGAGTTTGACGTTTCAAGAGTCAAAATTTCCAGGTTATTTGATTGGTTTTAAAATCAGTCCAACTGGAAGAAATTTATTCTTATTCACAAAAGTGAAAAAAATAGACATTTACTTTATTAACAATATTTTTCTAAAAAGTGTTAATATTGTATAAATAGAGGCATACATGTATATGATATTCAATCAAGTTTGTTGTATTTACTTATAACTGTGTTAAAGAGTTCAATGCCATGGTCATGGGCTTTCACAACACAAAAAAAATGTTCATTTTTAACTTTCATATTTTCCCAAATTATCTTTATTCGTTTGATATTAATGATTTTAAGTGCTGGTGATAATTAGTTGATAAGTATTGTATCATTGACATTTCTAGAAACATCCTGTCACATTTCTTCACCTGGAGTTATTTCATTGTCCAGGTAAAGATGCTAATTAGGTCAACTTAGGAACCCATAGCTACTTCGAGGTATCGAGGGTAAATTACATTATAATATGCATTAGGAGACTATGTTTTGTCTTTGAGAGATGAAGGGTTTTGAGAGATTTAGAGTTCAAGAAATCAAGAGTAAATATGCTTAGGTACGTAGGAGAAAAAAAATTGGGACCAGAAACTAAGTACGAGAGATCAAGAACTTACAGAGATCAATGTTCGAGCCATTAAGAGTCACCTGCATGTAACATTTGGCATGGGAAAAAAACATTATTTGGTTCTTGCCAATTTAGATTGATTTTAAGATTGTATTCAAATGAAGATCAAATTCTATTTTATATTTACAAAACCTTTTCAAATAATCTCTTTTTACCTAATTTGTTACAGCTCAGAAGATTCAGATAAAAGATCAAGGTCAAAAGAGAGGATGCGTAGAAGGTCAAGGTCAGATTCCAGGAGCAAGGCCAGGAGAAGATACAGCTCAAGTAGAAGTAAATCAAGTTCACGGTCACGAAGTCTCGAGAGAAAACCTCCACCTGGAAGGTAGGCATGTCAAGTTTTGTTCTTTTCATCTCCGGTCTTACAATACCATATATACATTTAAACATTTACTCTAAAGTATGTTGTGTTATTGCCTTAAGTACATGTAGAGTATGTCTTAATATACCTATTTAAGAAGCCACACACAAATTTTGTATTTATAGATTTATTAAGAAGAAATCAGAGAGTCCTCCCCCAACACACTGGAAACCTGGTCAGAAGTCACTGAGTTCAGACTCGCGCAATAGGTAAATTACACTCACCCTAAGTTATAACTCGCACAACTAGTCAGTGAGGTTTACCTTAAGTTCAGACTCACACAACAGGTACATGTAAGTAACACTCACCATAATTTATAACTCACACAACTAGTAAGTGAGGCTTACCCTAGGTTCAAACTCACACAACAGGTAAGTAACACTCACCATAATTTATTACTTGTGCAACAAGTCAGTAAGGCTTACCATGAGTTCAAACTTCTGCAACAGGTCACTCAGAAATCCTGAACAACAAAGGAAAATTTCTCAGACACTGAAAAAAATTTTTATTCAAGAAATTCATGTACATAGATTTGCTGAGAGTTGCTGAAGTCATTGATCCTTTTTATTGTGATGTGTACTTGAAATGAAATTTTGTTTGCTTGTTAGGGATCAGCCAAATTCCTCTAGAGTTAATGGTGGACCGAACAGTTCCAAATATAGTCCACCTAGACGAGAAAACCTGGAAGAACGAAGAGAGATCCGGGAAAATGAATTTAGAAATGACAGCAGAAGATCTCCAGATAACAGGGGATCTGACCATCCAAATAAACCCACTGAAATTCTGCAGCAAAGTAGAATACAGTATGACTTGGAGAAGAAGGAAGTCCCCATCAAGGCCCATCCAGTGAAGTCATTAAATGATTCTAAGCAAAGGAGGTCAAGGTCATCATCCTCTAGCAGATCTAGGTCAAGGTCAGATGATTCAAGAAGTTCTTCATCTAGTTCAGGTGAATCTGATGATGGTGGTATTGCTGAAGAACAAAAGAAAGAAAAGAAAGTTGAGGTATTCAAATTGTTTGTGACAGTTTTGAATCAGAATTCAGTGACTAAGTAGGGATATCATAGGGTTCTCAAGTTTTACAAGGAAGTAGATTAGGAAAAAAGATTTTGTTGTTCAGAATAACATGTCTCTTCAGGTGATCTCTTATCTGGTTTTTACATCAGATAACAATAAAACTTTGACATATCAGTAGAAAAATTAATAGCACATTATAAAATACTTGTAATTATTTTGACCTTACCAAAAATTTAGCCGTTGTAACTGAACTCTGGAAATCACTTTATTATTACCATATTGTATCACAGTAAATGACATTTATTTGAGTGCAGATTTTTGATAGTTATATTGATTTCCTTACACAGGAGAGATTTAAATGGCAGCCACCCCCAGAACCAGAAGAAGAGTTTAAGCCCAGACAAAGGGTATTACATGTACTTCTATATAATTTTATACAAAATTTACTTCTATTTAACGTCTAATTGAAAATAAAACTATGATGTACAACATAAATGTATTTAATGTTAGCATGCTAGGTTTATGACATATTTTTACTGTTTGCTGATAGGCTTCTCATGCAGATACAAAAGAAGAGAGTGTACGGACATCATTAAGGATTAAAACTCCACCCCTGCCCCCACTGGGACAAGTGGCAGAAGCCACATCAGAACTAGCCAGGTAGTCAACAATAATCAGAAATACAAAACGCTTCAAAATGTTGTTTTGTTAAATAATGCTCTTTATTTGATGTTGAACTAATGAAGAATGATACCGTTGTTGGATTACTTTACAGAAGGAGCAACAGATGGGACATGCAGACAACTGACAGGCAAAGGAATTTAAGTGAGAAAAGGCCCAGTCCTCCCCCTATAGATAGAAAGCCGGTTAGTCCACGTAAATCTAGACGTTCTTCATCAAGGTCATCAACATCAAGCTCTGGTAGCTCCAGCTCACGTTCTCCATCACCTACAAGCAAGTTCTTGTATGGAGAAAGTGAAAATAAGAAGATCAGTGAACCTCTGAAATCATCTACCAATCAGCAAGCAGCAGCAGGAGGATTCAGTAAGGTGTTAACTAGTATGCTAGATATACCAATCCCAGCAGCACCTGAAAAATCGCCAGAAAAACAGAAGGAAGCAAAGTCTACTCTTGATGAGAGAATCAAAGACTTTAAGTGAGTGATGATAAAATTTGAACCAAATTAACAATGGTTTTGGCAGTAACTAAGTTGTTCTGCATGTTTGAAGAAAAAAAGCTTTTTAGTGAAAAACTGATTTATTTATTGAATATAAGTGATATTCTATCACAATGTGAAAGGATACCAAAGTGATATTCTCTCACAGTGTGAAAGGATATCAAAAATAGTTAGTTAGATTTATATTTCAGCCCATTATGCAATACCAGTAGTTCGTGATCATCAAAGGAGTGGCTTTCATTACTCTATTTGTAATTTTTTTCCAGTGTCAATGTGTCTAAATCAAAGGTGGAAATAGCAACACGAAGGACAAGATCAAAAAGCTCCAAATCCTCCTCATCTGACAGATCTAGCAGGTCAGGGTCACCTAAAACCTTTAAGACCAGACAGAGGTCACCTGAAAGGTAAAAGTCCAAATTACTCGAGGACTTGAATATGTATATGTTTCAAAATATGTTTTATTCCTTTTTACTAGGGATGTCAATTTTACTCGAACAGTTTAGTCGAATAGTCGGAGGCTTTAGTCGAACAATTGTCGAGTACTCGTTGAAATTTAAATTAATTTTTTCATGTCATTTTTACAGACTGCTTATACAATATTTAATCTACACTATTACCATTTCTGAATTGTAAGCATTTATGTATTAATAAATGCATGTATCTAATGCATTTGATTTCAAATATAGTATTTACTGCACATTTTATCTCAATACAGGCTATCAGACGTTCGCTTTTGTCCTTTCTTTTAATGACGCTAGTACATGTACCCGTTATTGATCAATTACCTGAGGCCATTTGAACAGGTCTTGTTTGTGACCCGTGACTGGGAAACTCTTATAAAAACATAGACAGCTTGTGATCAATTTTAATAATGAGATTTTGTGCAAACAATCAAAGCAATCTTGAAATGACTGATATTAATATCAGAAAGAACCACCATTAATTTACGCTCATAACTGACCCCCAATCTACGTGTATTTACAAATATGTAAAAGCTGTTTTATTATTCTTAATTATTAATTGTTACGCGAGACCTTATGGAATTACAGGCTGAAACTTAATAATTTGGATCTATCAAATCTAATAATTCTTGAAAGCCTTCTCCATTTACAACAATAAGAGGTAAACAATCCTTTATAATCATGTTTGTGATAGCCACATTTGTTTCCATCTCTGCATTTTGGCATCTTTGTGGAGAATTTACTAGCAAAGTTTCACTTGAAGATTTCAATATGTTTGATGAATGTCGGCATAAAATATGATACATGTATACGATCTGATGTTTCACTGTAGAATGCAAGTTCAGTTTCACATAACCATGATAACGTACATTTAACTGTTTCCTTTCCTGACATCTTGTAAAGTATGCCAAAATTGTAGACTTTGGATGCATGGTTGCCGAACAAAAATCGACTCTCAAATAATTGCCTATGATCTGTTAATCCTTATCCGGGGTTTTCACTCAAGAGAACACTGATCTGTTAATAAGTGAATTGGGCGGATCCAAATTTATTACCTTGAATTTAAGTTAACTTTTAAGTAGCGAATTTTTAACAAGTAATCGAGTAAGGATATTTTAGTCGATAGTCGGTATGATCGAACGATAGTCAAGTACTCGAATATTTGTTGACATCCCTACTTTTTACCTTATATATTCTATTGATTTGATTTATTTTTTTTCTACAGGAAGCAATCATCAAAATCTCCCATAAGATCTAATAGGAATTCTTTAAGGTCACCAGGGTCAGGAAGAAAAAGGTCTGGTAGTCCTCAACAGAAAAGATCGTCTGCAAATCGGTCGAGAAGTCCAAAAAAGCCAACATTTAGGAGATCAGTATCCCCAAGGAGATCCAAATCCCCAAGGAGGAGGTCATTTTCACCTAGAAGGTCAAGGGCTTCAAGAGGAAGATCAGTTTCACCAAGAAGAGTAAGGTCACCTAGAAGGTCAACATCAAGAAGAAGAAGGTCAACATCAAGAAGACGATCCATTTCACCCAGAAGATCCAGATCCCCAAGAAGATCATCATTCAGACGATCAATTTCTCCGCGCAGACGAGCCCCATCGTATCGATACAGGTCTCCAATAAGGAGAAGGCTGTCTCCTCGCCGTAGAAGTAGGTCAAGGAGTCGATCCAGAAGACGGTCTCCAATCAGATCCAGGCAGAGGTATATTCATTTAAAACTTATTGTTCTGCAGATGAATAACTTTTGTGTCATCATTTACTCCATATCAGATGATCAGCATTTTCAGGGCCAAGATTATAAATCCTTGTTATTTAAACAATAAAAGATATTTATATGCAGAAAATGACTTTTTAAATTGTGTCTTCCTACTTATATATGTGGTATCCTGGAGCTCCTTATTCAAACAAGACTCTTTATGAATCTTGCTAATAATATTTTACATCTACAATGCTTGTAGGTCTAGAAGTCGCAGTCGAAGAAGAGGGAGGAGTTCTAGTTCTAGAAGCAGAAGTAGAAGTAGGAGACGGAGCAGAAGTGGTAGTAGAGGCAGAAAGCGCAGCAGAAGTGGCAGTAGAGGCAGAATCCGTAGCAGAAGTGGCAGTAGAGGCAGAAAGCACAGTAGAAGTGGCAGTAGAGGCAGGAATCGCAGTAGAAGTGGCAGTAGAGGCAGAATGCGCAGCAGAAGTAGAAGTAGGCAGCGTAGCAGAAGTAGAGGACGTAGTGACAGTCCTAGAGGCAGACGGAGAAGTAGGAGTGGAAGTAGGCGGCGAAGTAGAAGCAGACGACGAAGTAGGAGTAGATCATAAATCAGCTGGAGATATTTTCACCAAAAATCTATTTGCTATGTTGATAGCAGTAGAAATAAGTATTGTTTGTAGAAGGTTGACCACTGGCTGATTTATAGTACAATTTTATAACATTTTATAGAATATGGCATATCAGCCATTAAGATGGAATTTTCTTCCATATTCTGATCTTTTATTTAGAAAGTTAATTAATTATGAGTGATGATCATCCATTCAATTTTTACAAGATATGCATAAATTGTACATAATGTACATAGGCAAACCTTTGCCTATAATGTGTACCACTGTCGTTTGGTAGAAACATGCTTTATTCTGTACCTACATTTGTCATTGTGTGAGTGTTTAGGAGTTTTACAAACTTAGGTGTCATGTACATTCATCTGTCTGGTCAGGAATTACTGGTTGTAAACCCAGTGACAACATCCCAGTGTGGTACATTTTGTGTACTTTCCTCTGTTTTGTTCAGTCACAGACATTTTATGTCCAAAGACTTTTAAATATTCTTGTATTGAAATATACAATGATTTTCAATTCCAGAATAATTTCTTAGACATTTTTCACAGTTGTCATTAAATAGTCCTCGTGTTCATGAGTGAATTAACTGTATGAAGAGATATATTTAAAAAAAAAAGCAGGCAATTTTTCATAAGAAACTTGTGTGCAGGGAGATATTGATCTCTGATATTTATCTCCAAAAAGATAATTTTCTTTTGTATCAACCTTTTCACTGTAAAAATTTGAATAATGGAAAACCATTATTGGTTGCTCAAAAGAAAAATATGTGAACTTTGGTTTTAAATTAATATACAGCACAACATTAAATGTTTTCAAACATTGAAATATTGATACTATCCTTATATTTCTTCTCCTCAAGAAATATTGAAAAATGAACAAATATTACAACATTTACTTTTTGGGTTTATTTTCCCTTAGAAATTTCTCTTTGACCCTTGGCACAATTTGTACACTGATATGAATGTTTTTCAATAAATTCACCAATTTCAAAGATTTTTTATTTTTGTTTTAATCAAGGAATTTAGACTGACATAGTAAAGCACACTATACACCATCATGGAATTAATCCCCTGTGCTTCAGGGCCTCAGCTATATTACTTTTATGGAATGGAGATGCACTTGGACATTAACTTTCAATGTATACTTAAAAGTCAAATTTTTCTCATCATAAACTTTTTAGCTCAACTGAGCCAAAGGCTTATCGTCATCTTAAACTTTTCAGAATTTCATCTTCTCCATAACCACAGGGTTAATTTCAACCAAACTTGACACCCTTGGTGGACACCATGAAGAGAATTCAAGTTAGTTCAAATGAAGGGCCACATCCTTTTTCAAGGAGAGATAATTAAGAATTAGTCAAAATTTATTTAAGGACATCTAAAAATCTCCAGAACCACTGAGCCAGAAAAGATGAAACTTTTGTGAATGCTTCATTACATAATTATGTAGATTCAAGTTTAATCAATTCATGACCCCTAGGGGTAGGGCCACAACAGGGTATCAAAATTTACTTTGAAATATACAGAAAAAATCTTTAAAAATCTTCTCAAGAACAGCAAAGCCATGATTAGTGATATAAATACAAAAACATCCTCAGGTAGTGTAGAATCAAGATTGTTAAAATCATGGCCCCCAGGGGTAGGGCGGGGCCACAATAGGAGATCAAAGTTTTATACATATATAGGACAATTTTTAAGATTCTTCCTTGTATGGACAGCAAAGTCATTTTAGTCATATTGATATGGGAGCATTCTCAGGTAGTTTAGATTCAAGTTGTTCAGATCAGGGCCCTCATGAATAGACTGAGGCTCCAATAGAGGATCAGAGTTTTACAAGAGTGTATAGGAAAAAATATTTTCAAGAGTGGCAAGACGACACAAAACCATATTAAAAGCAAACAATGCATAATACAAGCTTAATGGAATCTTGTCCTTTTTTAGCTCATCTTGACGAAGTTGAGATTGCTTATGCTCTATTGTCTGCATTGGCATCCCCGTTAAAGTTTTAGGAGAAAGTCCATTTCCAAGTAACTTTAAGTCCTACCATGACAGAATTTGCATGGATGATGCATCTAAGGATGGACAATACCAAACTTGCTTGGGATGCTGGATCTGATCTACTTTTTCCAGATGAGTGACCAGGTTAAAGTTAGGAGCAGATCCTTTCCAAGTAACTATAAGCCCTCCCAGGACCAAACTTGCATGGATGATGCATCTAGGGATGTACATGTACACTATCTAACCTGCTTTGGCTGCTGGATCTGACCTACATTTTCCAGGTGAGTAACTACTAACCCTACCTGGACTTGATTTGGATGCTGGATTTGACCTACATTTTCTGGATGAGTGATGAAGTTAAATTTTCTATTACATGTCCATTCCCAAGTAACTATAAGCCCTTTCTAGATGAGAATTGCTTGGATAATGCATCTAGGGATGGATACTACCAGGCTTACTGCAGATGCTGAATATGACCTATATTTTCCGGATGAGTGAAAAGGTTAAAAGTTTTTGGAGCAGGTCCATTCCCTAGTAACTATAATCCTTACTTATACAAAACTTGCATTTAAGGATTTACACTACTCAACTTGCTTCAGTTGCTGGATCTGACCTATATTTTCCAGATGAGTGACTATTAGCCTGAATGCAGACCAAATAAGCATGGATGATAAATCTAGGGATGGACAGTATTAGACTTGCTTCTGAATTTGACCTACATTTTCCAGATGAGTGAACAGGTTCCCAAGTAAATTAAGACCTATATGGACCAAACTTTAAAGGTGATGTTGCATTTACCAGACTTGCTCTGGATGCTGGATCTGATCTATATTTTCCAGATGAGTGACCTGTTCAAATTTATCAGTGCAGGTCTATTCTCAAGTCCTACCGAAACCATGGATAAGCACCTAACTAGAATAAATTTACTGTAAGATTTGCATTACTTATAGAAAACATTTGTCAATCTATGATTACCTATATTTTTAAATTATGAGCCCTAAGGTTAGGGTTTGGCCAAAATCAGAGATCCAAATTATACTTTATACAAATGTTAAGGAACAATATCTGCTCCATAAAAAAGAACCATTTTGATAGTATTGATATTAAAGCATTCCAATGTTGTGTAGATTCATGATTAGATGATAAATCATAGCTGTCTTAGGGTTGGATCTTGGTAAACAATATGGAGTCAAATTTGCTATGAAATTAAAGAGGGAAATATTTTAAAAAAGTCAACTTATGATGAACAGCAGGGTAAAGGTGTCTCAGGTGAGCATTGTGGCCCATGGGCTTCTTTTTTTAGCTCACCTCAACAAAGTTGTGGGAGCTTGGCATCAGCATCCCAGGTAAAAGTTTTTGGAGCAGATTTTGTTCTAAGTATTTCTTTGTTCTTTCTTGATTCTACTTGCATGGATGATTATCTGGTATGTTTCATTGTGTTCATCAGGTTTCAGATGCTGCATTTTCAGCCAATATTTTCTATGAAATTGACCAGGTTAATGTTTTAGGAGCAGTTTAAAGTTTTTGGAGCAGGTCTTATTCCCAAGTAACTATTTGGATGAGTTATAGTTTTTAAAGCAGGTACATTCCCAAGTAACTATTAGCCCTTCGGTGACTAAACTTGCATAGAGGAATGCACACTACCAGACTTGGTTCAGATGCTGGATCTGACCTACATTTTTCAGACAACTGGTCACGTTTTTGTAGCAGGTCTCATTCTAAAGTAACTATTAGTCCTTTGATGACCAAACTTGCATTGAGGATGCATCTAGGTCTGCACACTACCAGACATACTTTGGATTTGGATCAGATCTTTATTTTCCAGGTGATTGAAAGTTTCTGAGCAAGTCTATTCCAAAATACTTAAAAATCCTACACAGACCAAACTTGAATAAATGTTGCATCTAGGAATGTTTACTACCAGAATATTTGTTAAGTGTGAGACTTCTATTTTAAGGTCACCTGAGTCACTTATTGCTATCTGTTCTGTTTTCGTAATGCATTGTTTGTCATCTTTATAAGCTTTTGAACATTTCAGCCTCTTCTGGTCATCCAGTTTCAAACAATTTTGGTATACAGCATCTATGGGCAAAGGAGAAAAAAATGAATTTCATGATCCCTGGGGCTTGAGGGATGGGGCCAAAACCATTAAATATTTTGCAATTTTCAAAAATCTTCTTTACTCCTCGACATCAAGCATGCAGTCAAACTGTTGGCATGTGGCATGATTATAACAAGCAATGAGTCCTTTAGCAAAATTGCCATATTCAAGACCCCATGGTCAGGGGTTTTGGAGTTAGGGTGGGGCTCTTTTGATCATATAGCTCTCCTCTTGTATATTTAGCAAACAAACTAAGTGCATGGTTAAAATGAGTAAGGGTGTCTCTTCCAAAATTGAAATTTGAAATTCATGGCACCTGGGTCAGGGGTTCTGACATAAGGATGGGGTTCTGTTGATTACATAGTGCATTAGTTTTTTTTTTAATCTTCTCTGCTCCTTGGTGCTTGGTGCAGACAAAATGAGTGCATGGTTATTACAAGCAAGGGTATCTCCTCTTAAATTGTGAAATTTATAGCCTCTGGGTCAGGGGTTCTGAAGTTAGCATGGGGTTCTATTAATTATATAGTGAAAATGCATTATTTTTTTAAATCATCTCGGCCAAGAATTATTAGTGTAGAGTACAAAACGTACTTTCATAGTTTTAATTTGCCAGGTAGACTTGTAATTAAATAAAAATGAGACAAAAATACTTATCTTGCACATTAGATGTTCTATTGTTTTGTTAAGGCCATTCCAAGTTTTTTCTATGTTTAGCGTCCGCCTTGGTTTTTGACACCCAATATCAGAAAAAACAAACAGCTCAGGAGTCCTGAAATCGGTTATTCTGGTCAAAATCTTTTAATTCTGTCACTTTCTATAAATATTTGTCTACAATATGCCATATTAGGAATATTTTAAGCATTAAATACCTCGATTTGCTGAAGAACAGATCTTTCAACGAGGAAAATAGATTTATCAAATCAAATCTTTTGAATGACTTAATTTTTACGACTATAAAGTCCTTGTTTTATTTTTTTTGGTTTGTGTGTTTTTTGCAAATAGGTAGGTAGATTTTTGAAAGATGGGTGGACGCTAAACAGAGAAAAAACTTGGAATGGCCTAAGTCTGGATGGTGATAGTGGCAAATGGGATTGTATTAACACTGGCAAGTACAAGCAAGTAAATAGATCTACTTTATGATTTGTTACTGAGTATGAGGCTAATTATTGTGTTGATACCTGATCATCCTATTTCTCTTGCTTTTGGGCTACATTTTTTCATCTGTCAGTTTATTTTGTTTTGTTCTGCACCCTCTCAATACCCCCCCCCCCCCCCAAATTATAATTCAGAACTGATATCCCCCCTCTCCCCCCCCCCCAAAAAAAGCATTTATCTGAACAAGAAAGATTATTTATAAATTAAGCTTTTTCGTGGGTGCATGAGTGTGCTCCAAACTCCGCCCCTCCCCCCTCCCCATCTTTTTCTGAGTATAGTTTTTGCTATAGTTAATTCTCCTTGAGATGCTGGTCACCCCCCCCCCCCCCACACACACACACACACTTTTTGATGTTGTAAGGTTGAGCACAGGCAATTCCAGGATTTGGACAATAAATTAGCTTTTTTCACTTTTTTTTTTTTTGCTTGTCAGTTAATTTTGAGAAGTTCCCTCTCCCCCCCCCCCAAATAATGGTCAGTTTGGGGGGTTTTTTTGGTCAGATTTTTTTTTTTTGGAAGTTGCCCCTCCCTTTGAAACTATTGCTACGGACTTGACTTATATGTAGAAGGCGTCAATCCGTATTTCCTTAAGGGGGGGGGGGTTCCAAAGTTACTTTCATGGTTTCCCTACTATACCCCCCTCCCCGGCTTAATCCGCCTTTGTTACGGGATGGGTCTCTAACAAGAATTAGTATGAGAACCCATTGAGCTAATTTTCATAGGTAAAAATATTTTTTCGCGAAAGTTTCACGTTTATTAAAAAAATATTTTTTTACCCACGAAAACGATCTCAGTGGGCTTTCGTAAGTGAAAATATCTTTCTCGTGTAAAATAAATTATTTTGTATGCCTCCACCCCCATCCCTATCATCAGAATCAGGAGCTGCATGTTATTATCTTACATAAGCGCGTTCATTTAAAAAAAAAAAATTCGCATCGGGTTCGGCCTTTTAAAAATACAGTGACCTGTGTCCGAAGGTTTTTTTTTCTGTTTCACGTGTATATACATTCGTTTCGTTATGTTTAGTAACAGGATGGGTACTTAGCGTTCCCTGAGAAACATATGCAGCGGAGAGATGTCGGGAGGGACTTTTGAGGATATCACGGCCGTGCAACAGATGATTTCATCTTGCACGGGCGCCATCCTCACCTCACTTCTTGGTAAGATTTCTAGATTGCGTAAGCCACTAGGCCACTGCATATCAGTTTGAAATGAACACTAGTTTGTAGAAGAATATCTCATAAAACTTTTATATATTTTCAACTTAAGATATACAATGTATCATGTGTTAGTCTATAAAATCGCATCCTCACGTCAGAGTCAACACTTGCCGACAAATTTCATGCGCTTTTCTACAGGCTTGTTTCTCTTATTGTAAAGCACCAGTCAGATCAGGACTTTCATCAGTTTATATAAAACTTAAACAGAAAGTAAGCAGTTGAGTGTTGACACCTCAATGCTTGTGTTACAGGTTTGTTAGTCACCAAAAGGGTGAATGTAATTGGTTGAGAGATAGGAAAAACAATCAAGATTTGTATTTCCCCGGGCCCCAAAAGACATCGCTGCAGTCAGCCCATAAAATATGTAATAAAATTTGTCTGGGGTCCATCAGCAGTATGTTGACTCAGAACCCAGGTGACATTGTGAGGAGGATAAAATTGTGTTCCAAGAGATTTTCTCTTCCAATGATTTAAAAAACTAAATATTCTATGCATAAATGTTTTTGGACATAATAATAATGAACTTAGTGTTAAATCCAGACCCTAAAAAGGGCATGGTAATCCAATAATCAAAAGGGCACTTGACGCCGCGACAAGTTTTCATGAGGGCACTTTTTTAACGTCTTTGAAATTATAAATATTTTCTTTATCATGTTTATGTACTTAAATTATTATTTAATACTGAAATCTTTAGTTATACAAGTATCTAAAAGAAAAATTTATAAATCTGTCAGCTTAATTCATTTAATACACACTGAGAGGGCAATTATTGCCAAAATTTAATTTCAAGTTTTTTAATCAAGAAATTAGTATGGTTATCAAGGTTATGCTTAAAAGTAATAGGTGTGAATCTTTTTGTCACTTGCTCAAGAATTATTTTAGTTTGGGGTATGAATTTTTTTCCTTGCTTTAATATTGTTACCTGGTATTTGTGTATGAGGTAAATAACAGAACAAAATTGCAAAGGAGGGGAGGGGCTACTTGGATAATAAATGTAGAGGGCATTCTCTTTATTTTGAAAATAATCTACCAACAAAAAGTGGTGCTTTGCTCTGCTTCCTTTGCTAGCTATCATGGCAGCAGAAAGACTACTGTTCCAACCAGTAAACCTCCAAGGTATTGGCAGGGTGCATGGCTCCTGCTTAAAAGATATCTGTACCAAATCAGGAGCTACAATGACTTACCTCTGTCAGAAAGTTCCAAGCAGTGATAGTCCTGGGAAAGAAACTGTATTTTGAAGAACATCAGTGGCTATACATATTTGAAAGTGGAGCAATTTCCTTGGTTACTGTATACAGGGAATTTTCGTCTCCATCTTATTTTCGCCTCTTTTGCCCTTCTCACAGGTGGGCGAATTTAAATGGGGCGAATTCAAAGAACACAGTATAATTTCTTAAACAGAACAACTGGGTGTATTTAAAACGGGGCAAAATTGTTTGCAAGTGTGAAAGGGCAAAAATAAGATGGGGTGAAAATAACCCTGTATACAGTATTTAAATGTTAAATAGGATTTAATAGTAAGGTATTTGGAAGATTCAATGACTGCAAGTCATAGATAATCTAGTTAGTTGTGGTCAGCATTACTTCTCCAGATTTTAGGAGATTCCATGAATCCCATTCTAGATGGTTCAGCATGTTTCATGCACTTTCTTGTATTCTTTGAGTAGTAAATTATGCATCTCTATCCTTTCAGTCGGGTTGAAATTTTCCTGAAAAACCCACTAGCCCAGGGGTTACTGATCAGTAAAAAATTACTAGCCCAAACCTCAAACTAACTAGCCCAACAATATTTAGGCAAAATGAAAACAACAAATTAAAGTTTCAAACATTTTGGTGACAGAAACAAATTAAATTAGTTCTTAGTCAAAAGAAGCCAGTCTACATAGAAAAGTGAAAGTAAACAGACCAGAATTTTTTTTTCGGTTTTGCTAGTCCGACGGACTATTCATTTAAATTAGCTATAGCCCGAGTCTTAAGATGACTAGTCCAGGGCGTCGGGCTACTGTATATTTCAACCCCTGTTTCAGTACCTTATTTCTCCTTTTTATGAGACTTGAGAGTGACTCCAAGACTGTGGGACAGGATTCCAAAGAGGGGGTGACTCTTGTATTTTGTCAGCTGCTTTTTTGGTTACATCACTGGTTAAGATTTCTCCTTAAGAGTCCCAATGTGGTGCTTGCTTTCTTTACTGTCTTGGTAAGATGTCCATAATGGTTTAGAATGCTTGATATTTCCACATCAACAATGAATGAAATATGAGAATACTTCATAATAATCTCATTTGAAGGATATGATATTTTCATCAGTATCAAAAAGAAAACAAAATTATATCCATACATTTATCAAGTGTTTTGTGCAGTTAATGTTTCACAAGAAGTAAAACAGTTTGATTGAAATGAATAAGTACTGCATGAACTATTTAATTAGGGTAGGTTGAATAAAACTTTGATAAGCAACAAATTTAAGCCTAGCGTTGTGTAATGTACTTGATACATGTACCATGAAGGTCCTTTTTATATTTTTTGTACATCTGTAGATCTCTGTTTCACTTTTTTTTTTACATTGTGTGTTAATTTGTTGAGGAATTTTGCAGTGACGCCATTTGATGTGGTGAAAATCCGTCTGCAGTCCCAGAAAGTGCCGCTGGTGAAAGGGAAATGCTTTTTGTACTGCAATGGGTTAATGGATCATTTATGCACATGTCTTAATGGGGGCAATAATGGATATTGGTATAAAAGAAAAGTGCCTGGTCCCTACAAAGGCACAGTGGTAGGTCCTACTTTGTGTTGGTTGAAGTACTTATTACAGATTTAGATCAGTGCACTAAAGGTTCATAAAAATTCAGGCAAATTTCACATACGTAATAAGGATTTTTAAAGAGATTCTTATTTTATTATATCAGACTAGATATTAAATTACCCGGTCTGCTCATCCTTCAGTCATAATAGTGCCACACAAACAGCCGATTCCTTCCCCTCCTCAATGACCTCAATTAAATGTCATTACTTGAGTATGTTAAAATTATTGTCCTTTTTTCAGAAAAAATGTAAATGCGTTTGGCAAGTGATGAACTGCATCTAGAATTAAGAAAGTGAAAGTGATGGATATGCATTGCTGAAATAGTGTTATATAAGGGAAATCATTTGCAAACATATATATGGGTATACATGTATTTATATATTATAGTACATCATTGATGTTGTAGGATGCTATGATGCAGATTACTAGACATGAGGGCTTTCGATCCCTGTGGAGTGGTCTACCTCCCACATTGTGAGTTTTTTTTACATTTATATATACTTAATAACCACCTCTGAAAATTATTTATGTGTGTTAAAAATTAATGTAGCTAAGAAATTCAGCTAGTTACTTTAACAGAGGAACATGCTAGATTCTTATGGTTTTAAGATAATTATGTGATTTATCTTTTGAAGTTTGGTAATTTAAGAAAAATTCAAAATGCTATCACTTTAAATTTAGATAGGGACTTGCTTATTTCTCAGATAAAATCTGACTAATATTTTGTTGTTTTAATTTCCAGAGTTATGGCTGTACCTGCCACAGTGGTTTACTTCTCCTGTTATGAACATTTTAGGAATTTATTTGGTTATTCGGCAGGTCTAGCAGAAAACGATTGGTGGAAACCCATTATGGCAGGAGCTAGCGCTCGAAGTGAGTACCACATACCTGCTTACCTGTATTTTACTATTCTCAAACATATTTTTTCATTTGGTTAGCTTTCTTTCTTGTTTATAGTCTTACTTTTCTGTAGAGTGAAATTTTTCTAGACTCAAGCCACTGTCTCAGTGTACAGAACTGTACCTCTCTGTTTGAGAAAATTTTGGACAGACAAACCAGAAAGCTAGAGATCCAAGCATTGTAAAAACTTTTGATCTATGGTGCCGCTTTTTAGCTCACCTGAGCTTAAAGCATGAGTGAGCTTTTCTGATCACATTTTGTTTAGCGTCCTGTGTCCATTAGTCCGAACAAGAAATAATACCCAAATTGTGCTTAAAAAAGTGGCAGTGTAAATCGTAGGTTTTTACAATACTTACAAATCCACGCTCTATGGTTTGTGTGTCCACATTTTCTCAACCAGAGAGGTACATGTACAGCTCTGCAGCTAAATGTACATGCATTTGAAGATCTGTTTATTAAAGCAAGTAGGTAAACAAAATGAGTTCAACTCAATCATAGCACAGCAACACCCTTATAAAAAGTCAAATAACAGGAATTTTTGCTGGTTTTTCATTAGGGCTGTCACGAGTACCTGAAATAACCGAGAACCGCGGTCCAAGTTGTTCGGTTTGGTTCCGGTTCCATTTTTCCGGATTTCGGTTCGGGTCTGTTTATATATTAGAGTCTGTTCAATACAAAATATGGCGTCGAAATCAAAGGAATGATGACGATAACAGTGATAAATAAACATCACAACTGAAATCTACTTCATTCCATGACAAAACACTTGTCACGGAAGTATTAGATATAATTATCAAAACGAGCAGGAATGGTCAGGTTGTGGCTAATAGTAGGCCAAGTCACCGATGTCTAGACGCTCGCATGGTTAAGACTTGTTTTAAATGTAAATTTAATGTAACAAATAAAGATTTTTCAAATTAAATTCATGAAATTAAGGTTTAAAATAGATGTAAATAACCGACCTGAAAAACCCGAAACCGAACCGAAAATTTACAGAACCGACCCGACCCGAAAAATTTTGGAACTGTGACAGCCCTATTTTTAGCTCTTCTGAGCCAAAGGCTCAAAGAGCTAATGCTATGGCCATTTGTGCGGTGTGCGTAAACTTTTTAGAATATGGGCCATAACTCAAGAACCCCTTGGCCAATTATTGTCAAATTTGTCACAGGGTATCCTTGGCCCAAGGGCTCCCTTTTATACTAAAACTGGGGTTGTGACCCTTTAACAAGGGGAGATAATTAGGAAAATAGAAACAAAAGTACTGGTTGCTAAAAAATCTTCTTCTCAAGAACCACTGGGCAGATTATCACCAAACTTACACAAAAGGATGAGGATATGTTGTAGATTAAAATTTGCACGGGAATTTACCCTGGGGCAAAGGGCGTGGTCTCAAGGTCACTTCAAAGTTGACCAAAAATTACATTTTATTAAAATGTTGATATTTTGCTTACTATAAGGACTAGGATCATCAAATCTTGTCAGTTGGTGCATCTAAGGACCTCATATCATGTTGACTCAAAAGTAGGTCACGGTGACCTACTTTTTAAATTTTGCGGCCATTCTTTTTCAAAATGATTTAGAGGCATATTTTGAACAATTTAAGACCTATGATCATCAAACTTTGTCAGTTGATGCATCTTGGGTCCTCAAAGTACGTCAACTAAAAAGTAGGTCACCTTGACCTACTTTTTGAATTTTATGGCTAATCTTTTTTAAAACAATTAAGGTCATTAATTTAAATACGGGAAGGCTTAGAATCATTAAATTTTGTAAGATGATGCATCTTGGGGCCATAAAACATATTTATTAAAAAGTAGGTCACAGTGACCTACTTTTTGAACTTTGCAGGCATTCGATTTCAAAGCATTTTAGAGGCATAATTTGGACATTTTAAGTCCTATGATCATAAAACTTTGTAAGTTGATGCATCTTGGGTCCTCAAAAAAGGTCAACTGAAAAGTAGGTCACCGTGACCTACTTTTAAACTTATATGACTATAATTAAATATTTCAGGTACTAATTGGCTTAGAATCATCAAACTTTGTCAGTTGATGCATCTTGGGTCTTCGGAGTAGGTCGACTAAAAAGTAGGTCACAGTGACCTACTTTTGAAAATTTATGGCGTTAATTAAATATTTCGGGTACTAATTGGCTTAGAATCATCAAACTTTGTCAGTTGATGCATCTTGGGTCTTCGGAGTAGGTCGACTAAAAAGTAGGTCACAGTGACCTACTTTTGAAAATTTATGGCGTTAATTAAATATTTCGGATACTAATTGGCTTAGAATCATCAAACTTTGTCAGTTGATGCATCTTGGGTCTTCGGAGTAGGTCGACTAAAAAGTAGGTCACAGTGACCTACTTTTGAAAATTTATGGCGTTAATTAAATATTTCGGGTACTAATTGGCTTAGAATCATCAAACTTTGTCAGTTGATGCATCTTGGGTCTTCGGAGTAGGTCGACTAAAAAGTAGGTCACAGTGACCTACTTTTGGAAATTTATGGCGATAATTTAATATTTCAGGTACTAATTGGCTTAGAATCATCAAACTTTGTCAGTTGATGCATCTTTGGTCTTCAGAGTAGATCGACTAAAAAGTAGGTGTCATGGGTCCTCGGAGTACAACAACTGAAAAGTAGGTCACCATGACCTACTTTTGAAAATTTATGGCTTTAATCAAATATTTCGGGTACTAATTGGCTTAGAATCATTAAACTTTGACAGTTGATGCGTCTTGGATCCTCGGAGTACAACAACTGCAAAGTAGGTCACCGTGACCTACTTTTGAAATTTTATGGCTGTATTTAATATTTTCAGGAATTATTTGGCTTACAAACGTCAAAATTTGTCATTTGATGCATCTTGGGTCTTCGGAGTAGGTTGACTGAAAAGTAGGTCACTGTGACCTACTTTTGAAAATTTAGGGCTGTAATTAAATATTTTGCGTACTTGTTGGCTAGAATCATCAAACTTTGTCAGTCGATGTATCTTTGGTCCTCGGAGTACAGCAACTGAAAAGTAGGTCACGGTGACCTACTTTTGAAAATTTATGGCTTTAATTAAATATTACAGGTACTAATTGGCTTAGAATCATCAAACTTTGTCAGTTGATGCATCTTGGGTCCTTGGAGTAAAACAATTGAAAAGTAGGTCACTTTGACCTACTTATAAAATTTTATGATTATAATTTTAAAAAATATTTTAGGTATTAATTGGCTTAGAATCATCAAACTTAGTTGATGGGTCCTCAGAGAATGACAAGTGATAAGTAGGTCACCATGACCAACTCTCAGGTACTAATTGGCTTAGAATCATCTTGGGTTCTCAGAGTGTGAATTGGAATTTCAAGGGTTTATGTAAATATAAAGGATACTTTGAGGCTTCAAATAGAAGTGATAGGTTGTACAGTTTATCAGAAGAGCGATTCAAGGCCCATGGGCCTCTTGTTCATTGGCAAGATTGTGTTTCTGTTCCATCAATTTTGTTTGTTGTTTAACGTCCCTCTTGAGAATTTTTCACTCATATGGAGGCGCCACCACTTGCTGGTGGAGAGCTGCAAATTTTGTCCTATGCTTGGCACTTCCAGCCATTGAGCAGTGAGGGATCTTTTTCGTGCCAGCACCTACTGCGACACGGGACTTCGGTTTATACTGTCTCATCCGAAGGACCAGTCTCCACATCCCACAGTGGGATTCGAACCCGCGACGTAGGGATCAACTCCTTACTTCGCGACTCTAGAGCATATCAATTTTGTAAATACTGATAAAAAATTTCCTGTATTTGGAAGAGAGAGAGGTCTTTATACTATACATGTAGATTCTACATTAACATGGTTATTTTTTTTACAGCATTGGCAGTGTTTGCTATCAGCCCACTTGAGATGGTCAGGACAAAGATACAGTCTGAGCAGCTGAATTACAGTCAGGTTCTGACAGCAGTACAGCATACAGTGAGGGAAGGAGGCATGGTCAAGTCCATGTACAGAGGCCTCACACCAACTCTCCTCAGGGATGTCCCATTCTCAGGTAAAAAGAAAATAGAAAATGTAAAAAAGAATGTTTGTAACAAAATAAACTATGTAGTTTGCAATATTTAACAATTTACTGGAAAACTTATGATAACAATTGTTCTTTTTGCAAATTCGAAATATTACGAATCTTTTGAAGAAGTTAGTAGACATCATACATACAAAGTTTTTGCCTATCTTTGCAACTATGAAATTCCAATTCCTAATTACATATTTCAGCTTTTTACTGGTTTGGATATGAGGGAATGAAGTCAATCATTTTAAGCAAATCTTTATCACATAAGATGACTACTGTTGAAAGTTTTTGCTGTGGAGCAGTATCTGGAGGGGTAGGAACACAATACTATTTAATACAGTGACTTTGATGCATGATTATAACATGTGGTTTTAAGTACAGTGTATTCACCCTTTTAGCTCACTTGAGCTGAAAGCTCTTATCACCTGTTATCTGTCGTCCATTTGTCCAACCATCTGTCTGCAAACTTTTCACATTTTCAACTTCTTCTCAAGAACCACTGGGCCAATTTTGACCAGAGTTGGTACAAAGCATCTTTGGGAGAAGGAGAGATTAAATTGTTAAATAAAGGGCCAAACTCCTTCCAAGGGGAGATAATCAAGAAAAGACAAACATTATAAAATCTTCTTCTCAAGAACCATTGGGCCAGAAAAGCTGAAACTTATGTGGAAGCTTCCTGGGGTAGTGTAGATTCTAAATTGTTCAAATCATGGGTGGGACCACAAAAGGAAATCAAAGTATTACAAGGGGAAAATCTGATGATAAACAGCAGGGCCAAAATGACTCAGGTGAGCATTGTGGCCCATAGGCCTTTTTTTATTGTTCTGATAAAAAAGTATTATGAAAACTGAATGTCTTTTTTTCCTTATCAGATTGCTGCCATTTTAACTTTGCCTTTCGATGTAATCAAAACCCATCGCCAAATTTCTATTGGGGAAAGACGAATTAGAGGTATTTAAATTGTATTGGAGCTTTCTTTTAATTAACATTTATACAAACTATAATTATGTTCATGCATGGTCGATTTAAAAACAGATCTCTAAACAATCCAGATTTTAAGGACTAGCTGGTTATTTTTGTTTTAAGTATAGGTATTTCATTTAATATTAAAATGAATTTTCATAAACTCTGAAAATGCTTACATTTAAAAAATGTTTTTTGTTAAAGGAAAAATTAAACATTGTCTGATTGCTTGGAAAAAGCCATGAATACTCACTATTCTAAATGCACCTTGTTAAGCTAGATGCTAAATTTTTTGGTCTGAATAGGTGGTGACAGAATTTACTATGCCACCTGCCTGATTTTAAAAAGGAAAATTACTAGTACATGTCGTTAAAATGTTGTCAATATGTTAATAAATCTAGAAAATTGACCTGAGACTGTTTTTAAGGTTCCCAGGAAATCACTTCAACACTACGCCTTATTATACAGCTGTACCAAAGGGAGGGAATGCATGCTTTGTTTGCTGGTATGTCTAGTCTGTTTGTGTAAATCTGACCTGTGTACACACCTTATCACTGGAAAGAAAAGCTTTTAAGATCAGTGCATAATCTGCTTTACTTAATACTTTACAGGTCTGGTTCCAAGAGTTGTGAAAGTAGCACCAGCATGTGCCATCATGATCTCTTCCTATGAATATTTCAAGAACTTCTTTAAAACCAGGAATCGAGAGCAAAGAGAAATTGATAACTACAGGCAATTGTAAAGTCAGTTGTTGGTGCTGTTGTGTGTTTGTATCTAGTCCTAGAGGTGACTGAGCAGGTGAAATGATGAACTGTGTTAACTTTATTTTGTGGTAATTGTCCATGTGTGAAATTCAAATAAAGCATAAATTAAAGTCTTGTATGCCACATTTTTTATGATTACTTGCTGTGATAAAATATAACATTAAATGTATCATAAGTTTGAATATTTCCAGATGTGTATAATATAGTGTAAAAGCTGCTTTGATTGCAGTTATTAAATGTACCGGTAAATGTTCAGAACTGTCCCATATTTCATCATGATTTAGCATCACTTTCACTGTCTGACAGATTTTTACTGCATTTACCTCACTGTTTGACAGGAATGTTTGATGCAAAAAAAGGGTACATGGTTAAGGAAATGTACTTGCTGCATATATTTTTTTTTATTTACTTGTGTGCTTGCAGCATATCTGGCATAATTAAATTCTTCATACATTTTATTTTGAATTAAGATTAATTTCTTTTGTGTGTAATTGTTTCACAAATGTCACTTTATGTCAGTACTTATGTTTACATAGGATTATACATCAGAATTTTTACATATTCATGTATATTAATGAAATTGATGTCATCGTAATTCCAAGATACTGTACTTGCATGTTTTTAATATTATTAGTGTTTTAGGTTTTAAAAAATCTCATCCTAATTAATGAACTGGGTATAGAACAATAGAATGTTTTACATGTATATATATGTATGCTAGTTCCCTACTTTACTCAGGATATGCATATACATATGTATGTGTTCTGTATAAATAACAAAATAATTAATGCTATTGTATTGATTACCGGTATATATAATTCATTCTCTATGTAATTAAATGTTGATTTAATGTTTATTTTAAATTTTAAACATAAACAGCTGTATTTTAAAAGTTAGCCAAAGTGCATTCAATCAGTTGAATAATATGAAAGGGAAATTGTAAGGGTTTCCATTGTTAATAAATGACCTAAAATAATTCAACTGTTGTCCTTCATTTTAAAAATTAGATTATATGTGCAACACAGTACAGTGGAGCCTTGCTAAGCTGGACGTCTATGATCTGAGTGCTTCACTTTCCCCACTAGATTTGTGAGGAACAGAATTCATATTTACCAATTATTGAAGATTCCTTTCAATAGCGTGATGCTTCATTAATCCAGACAATTTACTGGGGAACAGAAAGGTCTGGATGAGTGAGGTTCAACTGTATAATGCTTGTGCTCTAATAAATCACTGCCGGTCTGTCTATCAATACCTTTATGTTACTTTAATGGCACCTTTAAATGCACACATTTTGTATTTATGACACCTACTTTTAGCTCACCTCAACGAAGTTGGAGGAGCTTATGTAATACCCTCGGCGTCGGCGTCCCAGGTTAAGGTTTTTGGAGCAGTTTTCTTTTCAAGTACTTCTATGGCCCATATTAGTCAGAGATGCATGGAGGATGCTTCTAGTGTGTTTCATTGTACCAGTTAAGGTTTCAGATGCTGCAATTTCAGCTAAAGAATGACCAGGTTAATGTTTTTGGAGCAGGTTAAAGTTTTTGGAGCAGGTCTCATTTCCAAGTAACTATAAGCCCTATATTGACCAAACTTGCATGGATGAATGATACATCTAAGGATGCACACTTCTGGACTTGCTTCGGATGCTGGATCTGACCTATATTTTCCGGATGAGTAACCAGGTTAAAGTTTTTGGAGCAGATGTCATTTCCAAGTAACTATAAACCCTATATTGACCAAACTTGCATGGATGATACATCTAAGGATTCACACTACTGGACTTGCTTCGGATGCTGGATCTGACCTACATTTTCCGGATGAGTAACCAGATTAAAGTTTTTGGAGCAGATCTCATTTCCAAGTAACTATAAGGCCTGTCTGAACCAAACTTGCATGGATGATGCATCGAGGGACGAACAATCTCAAAACTTGCTTCGGATGCTGGATTTGACTTACATTTTCTGGATGAGTGACTAGTTTTAAGTTTTCAGATAAATCTATTCCCAAGTAACTGCAAGCACTATCAGACCAAAATTGCATAAATGTTGCATCTAGGGATGCACACTCCTAGATTATTAGTTTAGTGTGGGACTTTGCCTTACTTAAAGACAACATTCTTTGAGGTGAGCTCTGAAATCTCTGTAATCTCTGATTACCTATGTTTTATTTACTATACAGCCATTAGATGTGTAGAAGACACCTATAGTTTTTATGAATAAATCAGCTAGGGTCTGGACTATTGACATTTTACATTTAATGTGTGGACTTCATATTTACTACACTGGAAGAGTTGATTAAATATTTATTATACCCCGTGCTTGAAAACTTGGGGGTGTCTATCGGGATGGGGATCTATCGTGCGTCGTCATTCTGTCCGTTATGCTTGGGGATAGCCATCCCTTGTCTCCAACTCCCCTAACACCATTGAGTGCAATGTAAAGAAACTTTGACAACATCTCTATTACATATTGGCATTGTGCATCTCTTATTTTACGTTTGGATTGGACGTATTTTTGGGGTTCCCCATAGCAAAACATGGACAGTGTGCCATTCTTTCTATAAAATTGGGGGTACATACTCCTCTTGTACTACTGAATACAAGCTAATTCAGAGACTTGGGAAAAAAGAGCATGCGCAGTTCGGGGGGGGGGGGTTCACACTGCCCCCCCCCCCCCCGGTATTTGTAGAATTATTAAATGCATACGTGTATATTGAAGCAAATTAAAAAATGCCAATATGGATATAAAGATTTGATTGCTTATTCTTTAATAATTATGTGTTTAGAAGATTCTATTTAATATATAGAATATTTATCACACTGTAAGAATGATTTTATGAGTTTGTGCACGCCAGACATCATAACTTTTTCATTTCACATGTTGAATAGTATCAGTAAATCCAAAAAAAAAAAAAAAAACATTAAAAAAAATAGAATCGTCCGGGGATTGAATCCGGGCCTCTCGCTTTCTAAGCGAGCAACATACCACTAGACCGAGGAGACACTTGATTATGTAGCAAATTAAATGCAAACATTAAGTCACATATAATGTTTATATTCACGTTTGATATTGTCAAAATTTTACACAATAAATATTGTCTAATTTAGCCTTTACTAAACAGTTCTAATAGATGTAATTAGAATATAAAGTCCGCCAACAACGTGTATTATACGTAACAACTCTCGACATGCCCCTGTGCTAAAAATAGTGCCAGGCGACTTTTATTACAATAAAAAAAAAAAAAACGGGGCGGGACACTTTGAGAGGGACAAGAGAGGCCATAGGGAGTTATGGTATAAAATTTCATTGCAAAAGCTTCTTGAGATACCGCCCGGAAACGAAAGTGTTACACACAGACGGAATTTATGAATTTACGACCTTGAACTTTGACCTTTTGACCTCAAAATCAATAGGGGTCTTCCTTAGGCCACAGGGAGCTGTTATGTAAAATTTCATTGCAAAGTTCAAAGAATTCGCGAGATTTCGCGCGGAAACGAAAGTGTTAAAACAGACAGAATTTATGACCTTTGACCTTTCGACCTCAAAATAAGTATGGTTCTTCTTTAGACCATAGGGAGTTGCTATGCAAAATTTTATTGCAAAAGCTCAAAGGGTTCTGGAGATATCGAGTGGAAACGAAAGTGTTACAGACACAGACAGAAATATAGACGGACGGACAGACAGACAGACAGACCCAAATTAATATCCCCCACTTTCAGTGAAAGCGGGGGACAAAAATTTAAGGAGACTTTCAAAGAATCTTTTTTACATAGTGCCAAATGTTGTGTTCCTTCTATTTTACGTTTCGAACAGACAGATATTGGGTTTCCTACTTTCCTATAGTATATATATATATATATATATATATATATATATATATATATATATATATATATATATATATATATATATATATATATATATATATATATATATATATATATATATATATATATAATTAGGCACGTAGTATGGGAGGATGAGAATAGTTTCTTGCTGTCAATACGTATAGCTTTGAATCTTTCATGTAAAGGTAAATAGGTCCCAAGACTGGAAAGAGAGAGATAAAAAAAACAAGCCCTTTTTTCTTCTTCTCAGTTACCCCCCCCCCCCTTTTCAACATAAAAAAATTATGCTACGACCCTTTTATATCTTAATGAAATAGCTGTTAGTTTATATGGATGAAAGAATGTATTTCTATAAAACTTTGCTCATATTGATGAGGTCATCTTTTTAGATACAATCAACAATGTCAATTAATTTTTGCACAAGATTTTTTATGGGTAGTGGTCACAGTTTCAAAAATTATAATGTAATTATTTAACTATAAGTTTCAACAAAATCGGTGAGAGTCAATTTCCAGCCCTTTTTGATGCTTGCAGAGAATGACTTAAAATCTCGTACCATGTCTTTTATCATCCACTGTAGATTAGATTCCATGTTCTGTGTTTTAAAAAGGGGGCTGGTGGCGTAGTTTTTTTAATTTAAATTTTAAAGATTACCGCATTTCTAGAATCCAGTCTAAGGTGACAGAGACATACCATCCCGGTTTTGTTTTCTTTTACCACTTTACCCTTATTTTCTTTGTAACTTCAGCTTGAAAAATGAATGTTTATCAGATTATTGCTTTAAAACAAACCCGAAAGCTTTATTATACCCCTCCACGCTTGAATTGCGGGGGTATATGGTGATGCAGGTGTCTTTAAGTCCGTATCATTGGAGGGGGGGTGTATCCATCTCTTTCCGCAACTCCTCCTATACCACTGAATAAAATCTAATGAGACATTCACAGAATCTATGTTACATATGCCACTGTACGCCCCCCCCCTTTTTTTATTTTCCATTGGACAAATATTTGGAGTTTCCCATAGCAAAATATGAACATTGTCATTCTTTCTTTAATATAGGGAGTACCCATCTCTTATCTGCAACTCCTTCTTTGCCACTGAATAAAAATTTAATGAGTCTCATAGAGTCTTTATTACATAGTGTCATTGTGCACCTCCTATTTTTCGTTTCCATTGGACAGATATTTGGAATTTCAATAGCAAAACCTGGACACTGCTATTCTTTCTATAAAATTGGGGGTACCCATCTCTTATAATTATCGACAATCCTCCTATATTACAGAGAAAAAAATTATGAGACTTTCACAGTCTTTATTACTTAGTGCCATTTTCCGTTTCCACAGGACAGATATTTGGGGTTTCCTAAAACAAAATACGGAAATTGATATTTTTCCTATAATGTTAGGGGTACCTATCTCTTATCTAGCACGGCTACAGCGAAACATGCAAAAGTCTAAAATCCTTATTAAAGCTCAGGTAAACCTCGTACCTTGTAATCTACTGGTTGATACAGAGACAGCGCCATTTTTTGCAGATAGATTGTATGATGAGGTTGCCAAACAATTAGATTGAGATCGTGACATGGTTAATACATGTATTAATTAACAAGAGAATTTCGAATGTAAACTCTGTCAGCAGGCATTTTAGAAGAAGACTATTTTAACCAGACACGTAAAAAAATACATAATAAACAAGAAAGATCAGAATTTCCAGAGATGAGGCAGAGACCAGAGTCTTCTTTGGAATCTCCTAAAGACGCCGTTGAAATTTGGTAAAGAGAACCCGGAGATCTTAATTTTTAGGAAAGTCAACTTCGAGCTGGATAGAACTCAGCGCAAAAGAACTACACGGCGTTTGCCAGGTATCAAACGCAAAGCAACAGGCGAAGGGAACCAAGTCGCTGAGTAAGTAATAAGAATGTGGAGAATAAAGTGTGTAGTAGTGGATCAGGCCTTTTTAGAGGATCTGTATTGTCTCTTATGTAAGAAACCGGTTGAAATTGTCGAAGTTGCTACACTGCCAACATGCTTGGTGAAGAAGCCAATAAGAGAAGACATAAGGAAATCGTTAAAGTGATAGGAAAGTATCATAAAATATAGAGAATCCATCTTAAGATTTGAAGAGGACACTTGGTTTGATATAGAATGATAAATCAAACGGAATATTTTGTGGTTCTTTTTTATACGTTTAAAGAATAATAATAATAAAAACATATGAAAAAATAAACGTGCAGGACGCATGAAGACAGAGGCATGGGTGATGTAATGTTTAGTGAAAACACAGAGTGAACCTAGATTTAGGGATGATATGGAATAACCTGTCCTTCCTCAAAGTACACTACTATGAAATATATATGAAAGACTACACTGAGAGTTTCTCAGAGTTCTGATGCAGAGCGGGTGCTGGTAATCCAGAAGCAATAAGAAAGGTAAGGCAGTAAGAATTAGGAAAGGGTAGAATTATAGGATTGCACCAGTGGCAAGAAACCCGGGAAACTGAGGCGAGATACTGGGTGCTGTAAATCTGAAGAAATTTGAAACACCTAATATCCGCGATTAATAGGAACCCAGGGCAAGGTACACAGTGCCATGCCGGGTGTTACCCAATTGTTAGCATTCACCGCACCTCAGTTATAGTAATTTGCTATGATCTGGTCTGAATTTAATAAAACATGGTACACAGATGGTCACAATTCTTATTTATCGATGTTGCCATAGTTACTAAGTTTCAAGTCCAGGTGCTGCTTTTCTCTCGTCAGAAACTTCTGGTATTTCTTTTTACATCTCCGTAAACTGCGTCCAAACTGCTAGCCAACTGGAAAACTTTTGACCTTGACATAGGACTCGGAGTCTAGGTCATAATAACATGCATTTGGTCTCATACAAAGTTTCTGTCCAGTCGAAGGCCTTGTTCTCATTATACATTGACCTTGACTTTAAAAAATATGAGTTTGAGAAAAGATGGTTACCTCTTCAGCTCACCAATAATGCATTTTTACTTTTATTTCTATAAAAAAAGGTGTTACCAGTAAAGCAAAATCAAATATCTCTTCAAAATATTATTATGTGGAGTAAGTGAATTTATTTATCTATTTATTTATTTTTTGTTTGTTTTTCTCGAGCACGATTTGATATTGAAATAATACACACATCAACAGAAAACAAATTTGGTTTGTTAGTTAATGAGCTGAGAATCTCTTTATATTCTTTACCTGCTTGCAGGAATGGTGGATAAAATTCATAATACTCAAGGATGCTTTCATATCTAATTCAAAATTCAGTAACTTTGTTCTTCATGTGAAAAAGTAATTATGCACAAATGTATACGCTTCATTAAACATTGGTTTTAACTAATTTTTTAATCATAAATTTCCTTTCTCCTGGTCCGAGGGTTTGCAAAGCTTGCAAATCAAAATCAATATATATTTTTTAAAAGTTTCATATATTTCTCTCTCAATTTCACTGGAGACGGAGGACTCCCTTTTTATATCCAGTTATCAAAAAGATTTTTTTAACATCAAGTACTTAGTATACAGAAAAACGTGGTTGGTATTACAGATAAATATCTGTCAGTTGTATCTTTGGGACACAATCTTTAAAGATGGATAAATTAATAATCATTTGAAAAGTTAAATTTCCTTATTTGAAATGTTTAATTTCCTATTGATTTAAATAAAGAATTAAAAGTTATTTCTTGAATGCCTCGGTCTTCATGGTCATAGATCACGATCTGAGTCGTAAAAATAATACATTATCCCTGATCAGTCACGGGAATCAAATTTCCATCACAGAGAACCATGGCCTGTTAAAGGCCTTGAAGCACTTGTCAAATTAGTACATTATCCGTGGAATAACCGGAATAAGAGTCAGACGAGGGGGTGCTACCCGGAAGTCTCATTGAAATCCCTTCTTTTATTGTAAAGTAACCAAAACAGACATGGACCATGACCTACATACTAATTTCGTTTTCATGCATGTTTTAAATATAGCCCTTCTTAAATTTCCAGGGTTTGTCTTACGTACACCAAAGCAGTTCTCTACCTCTTCCTTCGTGATGGCCCGAGGACTAAGTTATAAATAAGTAAACAAGGAGACAAACCATCATTAAAATTTTTACCTCTTTAAACGGAAAACAAAGTGACGCATTCGACGTTAAGGATTTGTATCAAACAGTTTGTGTATTTTGGAGGAAAGGCAATCACCTTGTAAAATGACAAATACCAGCCGCTTCATATTCCTTCTGTGTGTAGTAACCATTGTTGATTCTCAAATTCAAACAGCGAAGATGAAAAATTCAGACCTTACAATTGCCAGTCAAGAGAAAAGTCGGTGCTTGGCAGGAGCATGTGCTGGAATTCCTTATGAAAAGATACAAAATTTATATCGGGGTTCGTAAATTAATGTACATTTAAAAACGTTTTGATTTTCTACTAGTCATTGAACTTTTCAAATTTTAATTTTGTGTTTCTTTATCTGAAAACATATTTTGAGAGTACACACTTCTGATATATCATTAATGTAGTACATGTACTTAAAATCGTATGTAGTTTTACATTGAATTTATCACAGTATGCATGTCATATCAATTAATGTATATTTGATTGTTTATTACTTGCCTTTGTAGGTTCATTAGAAGCCATGTATGTATTTTTTGACCTTTATGAAATCTAAATCTTTCACACAGGGATATTTTACACAAAGAATGAACTGCAAATGAAACTGAAGGAATTAAATTCTTACACAAGCCGGACCAGTCGGAGTCCATTATGGCAGAAAAAATTAAGAAAGCCTTACGACTATTCCTCGCGCTTTCGAATAAATGCGGGAAGTCATGACGGAGACCATTGTTGTCCTACGTAAGTAAATGTATATAATTCTAAATTTTAAATACATGTATTTAACTTTCTAAAATTTTTCACGAATAATTGCGCTATGACTGTTGAAAGTCGCTATTTTCCCCCATTTATTTATTTATTTTTTGTTGGTTTCATCTAACATTGAAAAAAGTGATAAAATGATCTTATGTATTTTTATATGCATCAAGTTCATGTATAATTTTCTCTTATTTTTTTTTTTTATTTACTTCAGTATAATTCTGAATTACAGGTATTGTGATTTGATTTTCCCTCCCGTCTTAAATAACACGGTAGGGGTGCCTCGTTACATCGTTCATTTCCCCGACAGTCAACCAGAACCAATGTATCAATTCATACCCAGGGGGAGATGTGTGTAAGTACCCTATCAAATTTTCTCACGCACCTGTACAATGTGCGAATAAATATTAAGTCTTTCAATTCAGTCTCAGAAACAAATTTTGCATATTATTCCTCACTCTTTGGGACAAATGCACGTCGATTTCGATATTCGGAGTCCAGTTCAAAAATCAATAGTTTTAATATAAAGGTATTTACCCGTGTATTTGGCAACATAATATTCCTGTGTGTTTTGTGCAATGAAAATTAAAGGATTGTTCAAATGCAATATTTGTTATTTTTTTCAATGACTCCGTCGTTTTTACCACTTTCTTCTTATCTCTTTTAAAAAAAATTATCTTTCGATGGCAATACATGACCACTTTCACAATAAATCACCCGAAACATACATTTGGTTAGAGATGATTAAATTTTGTTCAAATAAGTTGTGGAAAAAAACCTCCATTGAGTCTCTCTGTGCCAATTTTGTCTTCTTTGCAATTTTGCATACATTTCCCACCTTTCATGCAAATAAATTGAATTGCTTGGAATGATTAAAATTTTCATTAAATTGAGTGTGTTTGTGAAAGTGGATCTGTGTTTTTTTTTTATTATGAAAATAGACTTTTTTATATTGCAAAAAAAAAATAGATGTTTAAATTAATGATCTGTGCCATTTTTCCTTTGTAACCGATGCGGAAGAATTGGCCGCATGTAAAGATATTAATAGTCTGTTTCGCTGAGAAAAACAAGTTTTACGGTAATTAACCGACCAACCTACACAATAGATACTGTAGTAATATCATAGTTACTGTAGTTAACATCAGTAGTTAACCGACCAACTTACCCAATAGAAAGTAATATCATATAGTTACTGTACTTAACATCAGTAGTTAACCGACCAACTTACCCAATAGATAGTAATATCATGTAGTTACTGTAGTTAACATCAGCAGTTAACCGACCAACTTACCCAATAGATAGAAATATCATACTAGTAGTTACTGTAGGTAACATCAGTAGTTAACCGACCAACTTACCCAATAGATAGAAATATCATAGTTACTGTAGTTAACATCAATAGTTAACCCACCAACCTACCCAATAAATAGTAATATCATAGTTACTGTAGTTAACATCAGTAGTTAACCGACCAACTTACCCAATAGATAGAAATATCATAGTTACTGTAGTTAACATCAGTAGTTAACCGACCAACTTACCCAATAGAAAGTAATATCATATAGTTACTGTACTTAACATCAGTAGTTAACCGACCAACTTACCCAATAGATAGTAATATCATAGTTACTGTAGTTAACATCGGTAGTTAACCGACCAACCTACCCAATAGATAGTGATATCATGTAGTTATTGTAGTTAACATCAGTAGTTAACTTACCAACCTACCCAATAGTTAGTAATATCATGTAGTTACTGTACTTAACATCAGTAGTTAACCGACCAACTTTCCCAATAGATAGTAATGTCATGTAGTTACTGTACTTAACATCAGTAGTTAATCGACCACCTACTCAACCGACCTGTTGGGTAGTTACCTGTTTTTATGACCAGTCACTAAGGGAATACAAACTAGATTTTAATGTAGGCCTTGCATATGTATTCATTATGTACATGTATTTATAATTCTGGCAGTTTTGACCATATTTTGTTCTGTCTTCAGATCTGGAGGAAACTGTAAGAGCTGTGAACAGGAGTATGCTATCCACTCTCTACTCGTGATTGATATGACAGGGCCCCCTTATTTCGAGTTTGACGACTTCTACCTAAAAAGTTATTGTTCCTGTAAAGGTTGAAAAATGTTAATAAAGAGTTTCAGTTCTATTTTCAGTTCTTGTGTGTTTACACAGAAATTTTGGTATATATAGCGTGTCGGGGTTTCTGGTGCGCCTCAACATCGGTCTACAAATATGTCTTATTGTGAAGCATTTTCGATTTGACAATGACGGAGCACTTTTAAGTTTTTATCACCATGACGTCAATCTTCTGATTCGTCAAGAAAGTAACAATACCCCGAGTCAAGTTCTATTCACGGTATTTGTATAACGTTATATTAATAACAAAAGAAATTCCCAGTTTCTTGTGTCAACAAACAAACACCTGAAAAGCTGTGAAAAGATAGAGAGTCAGGTTACAATCACCAGGTCCTTTTTTTCCTTAACCTTTGATTGACCCGGATCTTCCGATCAATCATTGGCCTATGACGTAAAATGGACAGGTTGGCGTAGTCTTACTGCCACTTTCTTATAAAATGAAACAAATTGTGCGCACTGCATGCTCTGATACAACTTTTTGATTAAAATGAAAAAAGGTACATGCAACATTGAGGTCTGCATGCTCATTTTTAGCTCACCTGAGCCGAAGGTTCAAGTGAGCTTTTCTGATCAAAGAATGTCCGGCGACTGTAAACTTTTCACATTTTCGACATTTTTTTCAAGAACCACTCAGCCACTTTCAACCAAACTTGCCACAAAGCATTCTTGGGTGAAAGGGATTTAAGTTTGTTCACAGGAAGTGCCACGCCCTCTTTCAAGGGGAGATAATTAAGAATATGTGAAAATTTGGTGGCAACTTTTATAAATATTCTTCTCAAGATCCACTGGGCAAGAAAAGATGAAACTTATGCGAATGCTTCGTTACATACTCTAGATTCAAGTTTGTTTATATCATAACCGCCGAGGATAGGGCGGGGCCAGGCGAGGGGGTCGAAGTTTAACATAGGAAAATATAGGAAATGTCTTTTAAAATATTCTTCTCTAGAATAGCAAAGCCATTAGTTATATTTTTTAGAAGTATCCTCAGGTAATGTAGATTCAAGCTTTTTTTTCCCAATCATTACCCCTGGGGGTAGGGAGGGTCACAATATGGGCTCTAAGTTTACCATAGGAATATATTGGTGTAATGGTTACGGGGTTTTGTGTAAAACGCGTTGAAGACTTTTTCTCAAGAACAGCTGAGCCATTATTAATCATTTTTATATAGAAGTATCCTCAGGTAGTGTAGATTGAAGTTGGTTCAAATCATGAACCCTGGGGGGTGGGCGCAGACACAACTGGGGGCCAAAGTTTTTCATAGGAATATCTAGGAAATATCTTTAAAAATTTTGCTCTGAAGAACAGCTACGCCATTTTTAGTAGTATCCTCAGGTAGTGTAGATTCAAGTTTGTTCAGATCATAACCCCCGGGGGTAGGGCGGGACCACAACAGTAGGTTAAAGTTTTACATAGGAATATATAGGTGTAATGGTTAAGGGGCATTTGCGTAAAACTCATTGAAGACCTCAAATAGTGGAATGACCTGACGACCCTTGGAATGAAGTAGCCAAAGGGTATATAAGGCAAAGCTTTGGGAAAGTCAGGCAATCAGAAGCTAGCAGAAGAAATTGGCCGTTGAATCAGCATTAAAGAAGTTAAGGGTAAGAGCAGAATAAAAGTATTAAAGTTATAAGCACCAGTGGCAAGTATCCTAGGAAATTGATGTGAAGTTCTGAATGTAATAAATCTGAAGAAGATTGAGACACCCGGTTCTTATCTAATCAATGGGAACCTAGGGGAGAAACACGGTGCGAGTAGTACCTTACACAGTCCCCCTCTCTAGATAAGAGAAAAATTTTAGTACTGTGTGAATTACCCTTAGACAGAGCGGTCTGTAAGAGCCTGATCATACATGTTATATAGGAAATATCTTTAAAAATCTTCTCAAGAAAAACTAAGCCATAAATAGTCATGTTTATACGGAAGCGACCCTAGGTATTGTAGAATCAAGTTTGTTCAAATTATGATCCCCCAAAGTCTAAAGGGGCAAAATTTTACTTAAGAATATATTAGAATCATCTTGAAAAAATGTTTTGCTCAAGAACAGCAAAGCCATGATTAGTCATATTATTATAGAAGCATCCTCAGGTAGTATAGATTCAAATTTGTTCAAATTTAGGATGGGTGGGGTGGGGCCACGATAAGCGATCAGAGTTTTACATAGGAAAACATAGCCACCTTAAAATTCATCTGCTCAAGAACAGCAAAGTCATGATTAGTAATATTGATAGGGAAGCATCCTGAGGTAGTATGAATTTAAGTTTGTCCCCCCTCCCCCGTAAACTTTTCATTTCTGCTTTCTCCTAGCCAATGTGTTCAGGTGAGCGATATGGCCCATGGGTCTCGTTTAAATGTTATGAAAATGGACACATGGGTTGCGGAATGGAAAATCATTTGTTTGCACAGAAGAAACGTCACATAATACAAAAGTTCACAGTACCTTGGAGTGGTAGTCAGGATTGCATCGAATCCTTTGTTATTTGAATCAGATATTGTATCTTACCACAGTCTATTGCACATACTATACTATTATAACCTTTATTTGTGTATATTTATTATTTAAACAATAAAATACTTTCTTTGGTTGTTAGTTCGGGAATAAATGTTGCAGCTGTTGCAGAAAAAAAATGCATAACCCATGTAAGCGGGTTATGTAATTTTTTTTTCTACAATAGCTGCAACGTTAATTCCCGTACTAACAAAGAAAGAAAGACATTTTATTGGTTATATTTATATCTGTACAAATAATCATTTGTTTAATGGCCTTTTGAGCTTGAATTCTGTTCGTTATCTCCAAATATTTCATTAAAGTAGGATTTATTAGATGAAATATTGTATAATTGATATGTACGTCATTGTACGTTTCATTGAACAGCCACTGGTCAAGAAAATACTTAGTGTTGTTTGCTAGCTGATAAACGGCAATTGTTTTCTTAAGAAATAAAGGAAATAATCTTCATTGATGCAAATATACTTAAGTGTGAGTCGATAGACTGGGAATAATTTTAGATTTCTAGATTTATACAATAGGAATCCGAATAGCGTGAGTAAAGTCGATAGACTGGGAATAATTTTAGATTTCCAGATTTAATAGAATCCCACTTTCTTATAAAAAATGATAATTAATAAATATTTTTAATAATTAAAATAAATAAATAAATAGATAAATAAATAAATTTTTGATAAAACCCGCTTTCTCTGGATTTGGGTATCCTATGACCTCAGTAACCACAGTTTAGAGATAAGAAGGTATATATTGACAAACTCCAAATGATAGACTGACAGATATGGTATTTTAGTATTCTAGTCCTTAACCACATATTTAGATGAGCAGATATTCCTTGACGCACTTCAAAACAAAATAAAGATAAAAACATACGTATAACTATATAGATCGTGATGTCAATACTGATCATTAGATAAAAGTTTTTCTTATCAGTTGTACAAGACAATAGGCATCAGACTTAGTACAGATCAAGATGAGGAGTTTCTGTGTCTTTGCTATCTGTGTGTTGTTTTCAGGTTTGTTTTATTCATTTTATATCGCATTTTATTACACATCATCCACATCCTATATTAAATCATCTTAAGGTAACACGCCATAGAAAAACATATTTAACAGAATGATAGGGTTGAATGAATATAAAACTTCTTTCAATGTTATAAATCACAACGCAAAATGAACCAGAGGCACTTTGAGCAGTGAGCTCCCAAAATGACCCCCCCCCCCCCCCCCCCCGCTCCCAGATGAGTATAATGGAGTCTATGTTTTGCTATGGGAAAACCAAAATACGTGTCGTGATCAAAACGTAAAATAGGAGGAGCACAGTGGCACTATGTAATAAAGATTCTTTTTTCTTTCTGTTTTGTTGGATGGGGTGGGGGGGGGGTGGGCTGAAATAAAAATGTTCACTCTATCTCGCGCTTTCCTTAAACTCTTACTTGTGAAAGTACTTTTTTAAAATGCTACATTTTGTTTGCGGCCAATTTGATGCATCAATTTTACTTGTAAAGATTCTGTGACTCATTCAATTTTATCCATTGGTAAAGGAAGAGTTGCGGATGAGGGATAGCGGGGGTGGGGGTAGGTGGGTATAAAAACAGAGGGTTTATAAAAAGCCTAATTTTAAAAGTTTGTCCATTTTCCCCGAGCTTTGTTCTCTGCTATTTTTTGCCTCAGACATAGATACATGTAATTAAATTTTGTACTTCATTATATTTAATACAGTATCAGTTTGCTCGGCGGCCTCTCTGAGTGGCTGCGCTGGACAGATTTTCAGCTGTTTTGTCAATCCCTGTCAGTTTGCCAAGTGTTCCTATCCTAATGCTCATTGTGTGTAAGTAATACAGTCATTAACAACAAGTTTAATGCAAGCTGCACCAATACATTGTAACCCTAACATTTTCTTATTACTATATATCGTAAACTCTCAATCGTAAAAACCTAAAGAACCTGTTAAATATTTACTAGTACCGTATAGTTTTAAAACAAGTTAATACTCACTTTTCTTTCATTTAGGGCTGACTATTGCAATGGATGTAACGCTGTTTGGTACCATGGACATATTAGACTGACCACTGAACAGTGTGCTGGAACAACGACACTACCACCATTTTAAATATTTTCTCATTGTTGAAGTGTAAACATGCAATATCATAATCGTTCTTAGGAAGCTGTTTTGTTTGTTTCATGCACTAAATTTGTGACGGTACATTTTGTCACCCTGTACATATTATCGCCGGCAAAAAATGTACCTATACCCTCACTGCACACATATCATCCATCATTATCGTCCATCATTATCATTGATACCGGCGACAATATATAAGCCTTTTTTTCTCCCTGTAGAATTGGGCGACAAAATGTACACAACATACTGGCACATATTGTGGTCGGCAACGATTTATGCTGCGAAATTTTGCATATTTTGTCGCCAAAAATATTATTTTAAGTATATTTTACTGGAGAGAGAGAGAGAGAG